TACCAATTAATCACGGGAAGATTTTGTAATTCTTGTTACAGACTACTTCGTAAAAAGCAAAGTATCACTTTTTAAATGATTTCTTTATGAAAATGATTTTGATACTCCTTGTTTCGTTTCATATTTCATTTATCTTGTGAACGGCAGGTTTGAGTAATTACATTTCAATGTCAATATACCCATACATATTGCACAATGTGTTTGGTGTTTGTTCATACGATTCAGTCCTTTAAAATTATTTACGTAGTGGCCAAGTCCATGCGTTACGGATTTACATTTTCAGAGAACTTTCAAATTTAAATTAGAATGTCATAACAGTTGTAATGAAATGAACGAATTAATGATGTATGTGTAAACTAAAATGACATGCTTTCACAACAATTATGTTTCTTATCAACCTTTCATAAAATTTATGAAATATTGTATTTTTTAATAACGTTGCTATGTATAATAACCAAAGATTTGACCTTCTATATGTCATTCAGTAACAGAGTATACAAAATTCAATATTTCGTAAGTGTGATGAATGGTTGATAGGAAACCCAAATGCTGTGCAAGGACCTCATTTAAGTTAAAGATAAACTTGTAATGAGTTCTAGTAAAAAAAAAATTAAAAAATGAATTCTCACAGAATCAAACGAAACTTACACTGAATGTTCAAGATTACAAATAAATGTCATGTGCCAAACCATTTTTGAAGAAAAGGTATACTGGCTGAGAAATGAGCAAAGACAGAGAAGGAAATCAAGGTAGGTAGCCCCGACACCATTTGTGTAGTCCCATATACATCTTTCTGTGTACAGTGCTTGTTACTTTACCAAGCCTGGGCCAAATTTGTTATGATTTTGATGACTCCAGAACCCACCTTTATCTTTATTATAGCAGATCTTTAATTTCTAGACTTTCTAGAAAGTTTCCTGGAAAAGTCATTCCATAACGCATGTATTTGACCTGTATAAGTCAGAAGGTCATGATAATGGGGTGCTGATAATGGTATGAAGCTCTATCAAGACATGATCCAAATGTCTATAATTTTAGGATTGTTCCATGGAACTACAATGAGTTTATTTTTAGATACATGGTTATTCATACCGTGTCATTGCTCTTTTGGGGTATGAAAACAAATCCCCTGTTCATTTTGTTTTGATTTTTTTTTTATTAATGTTCATCACTTTTCTTTAAAAAGGAAAGAAAACAAGAGATGCATTTTCGTTTATTCTAAACATAATTATCAACCGTTCGTTCACTTTCATAACCATGTTGAAATACTGAATTGCACAGTGAAATCGAAACTTTTGCTTAACCACTTGCTTTCAAAATCTTTCCCCGAATGTAAGAAGAAAGTATTTCATTTCCTGTGTTCCTCGTCAGAACCAAATAACAAGCAATGTAATTCCAGTCTTTTGCAGACATAAAATGTAGCGTTTGAGTGTATTTTATAATAATAAACCTGAACCTCTACAAGCAAACACATCAACATGAAAATTACAATACAGGAATATGAGCATTCACTCTTGTGTAGAAGTTCATCGGCCAATATTTATTTTTCATGTCTTCGCATATTTTTCATTGATTGTTGACCACCATCCCGATTCATTTTTTTTTAAATTTTAGAAACGTCCGTATTCTCACACTCCATGTGGAATCAATAAGCATTATACCCAAGCAACAGTTTGGAGTTTAGACCCACTCTGTAGGTCTAGTCTGCAAGCACAAACCCGTGTCAGTCGTAAAAGTGAGTCTGCACTATAAGACTACCATAGGCCATGTACTGTAGCTGCTCCTGACACAACCAGTAGGTAGCTTGGCTAGATTTCTCTCAAGGCACAATGATTTTTTGATAAAGTGTCAAATTAGGGTCTGTGCCTGCAGACTACTGTAGGTCAGGGGAAAAGTTCGGCCTTACTATTTTAGCTTCATTAATTATTTATTCAATATTTAGGTAAATATTTAGTTAAACTCTACGCACCGTAATTAGCGATATGGTTAAAAGAAAAAGAAAAAAAGGTAGAAGGGGAGAAGAGGAAGAAAAAGAAGAAAAGGCAGAAGGAGGAGAAGAAAAAAGGTAGAAGAAGAAGAAAGAAAAAGGTAGAAGAAGAAGAAGAAGAAGAAGAAGAAGAAGAAGAAGAAGAAGAAGAAGAAGAAGAAGAAGAAGAAGAATAAAAAGAGGAAAGAAGAATAATGAAAATAAAAACATGTTAAATTGTCATCATTTACCTGTTTCCCTCAACCGTTTGAATTATATACTAATTATTCAAAAACAATTGCGAAGCATTTATTATTTTTTCTTCTCCTTTTTTCAAGTTACTCAACCCATTTTCTCCGTACTTACAGCCAAACAAGCAACACTTCAGGTTTCTTGTACCAGTTTGAATCAATATTAGACATGGTTGGTTGTCTCCATTGTGAGATTACGACATTTATATTTATACTGCTGCCTGTAGATGGCGTACCTCTATAGGAGCAGATAGTGTCCCTTTATGCTAGGAGCAGACAGAGCATAGAGCTATACTACTAAATAACACATAAAAATTATAGCTCTATGAGACAGAGTCATCTATGTATAGCAGGATACCAGCCTTTGGACAATGCCTCGCGCGCTGCTTCACCTGTAACGAATTCTTGTATTCAATTTTCAGAATGCGATTTTCATACATTACGAGTTGTTAAGTAGGAAAAAAACATAATGTTTGTCCTACCTAGCAACGAGGCACTTAACAAAGTTTAAATTTGATATGACATAATAAATATGCGTCGGAGCGATGACGTCATATATCACCCCCTCCCACCTTCTCTCTCTCTCTCTCTCTGTCTCGTTCTCTCTTCGTTCCCTCTTCGTTCCCTCTCCCATCCCTTTTCTTTGTTATCAAGAAAATTAATTAATTAATCAATAAAATAAATGCTTTTAATGATCTTATACTTTAACCATTCATAACAATCTCATTACTTGTCTGATTTATTTCGAACTCTCGCCAGTCTGTTTCTCTTATTTTTCTGCTTTCAGACAAATGAACTTATTACAAAAGTTGGATTGCCCTACAAATAGTACACACCCATCTCCACCCCACGCGCACAAACACACTCACACACTATTCACGTATTATCTTAATCACTTTGATAACTTGAAAAAATAGTCAGAGCCAATTTTTAAAGTTGTACTTTCAAATATATAATCTTTCATTTTAACATTACAAAAGTTATCATATCAGAAGAAAAATAGTATCCGGCTAACGTAAAATAGCAATATACATTTAATAATAATAATAATAATGATAATAATAAATTTATATAGCGCAGCTTTTATACAAAATATATTCAGCTGCGCTGGTTAAGAGCTCCTTTTTACTAAATTCTACAAAATAAGATCACTCAGTTGAAGAAATAAGTTTTTAAATTGGATTTAAAAACATTGAGAGATGGAGTGCTTCGTATTTCTATTGGCAAGCTATTCCATAGTTTGGGGGCAACAATTGCAAAAGCACGGTCCCCAAGAGTTACTTTAGTTTTGCCATGGGGAATCTGAAACAATAATTTATCTGTGGAACTGCGCAGGCTACGACTGTGTGATTGGACTTTGAGTTGAAGTAATTCTGTGATGTCATTAGGGGCTTACATCACAGAATTACTTCAACTCAAAGTCCAATTAGAACATGATCTTCAATGACAAGGTCATTGCATTATCTTCTGACCAGATCGACTACGAATTAAAGTGAAGGAGCACTGAATATTGTGACTCTTTATTCAGACAATATAATATCATCGTTAAGACACTACTTAATCATAAATTTCTCGTATTAGTTACACGAATCACGATTGGTAATTCCAAAGTTCTCTGGTGCAGATCGAATCGCCCGCTATTGGGGAAATTTGGTCTCTGTTTGCAAAATAATGATATGAGAAATAAAATATAGAATCTCGGAATTAACGTTTGTTCAAAATATTGGCTATTTCAAAATGCTCGGTTGAAAATTGCCCCCGATGCCAGAATTTTGTTTTTTTTTTCCATTTTCTGAAATAATCATATGACGTACAAAATTATGTTAGGTTTCAACGATTAATTAAATTAAATAAGTGAAAGTTGATAACTAGAGCATGAATCTACCAATATAGAGTTGTAATCTTTGTGGTGTTTGAGTAAAAACTTAATGAAATCTAGCAAACACTATCCGATATAAATACATACATACATCCTACAGACCTACGGTATACACGAGTCATTATTAAACAAATTGCAGGGATTGATAACCTACATTTAGAACTTATCATTCATAATGCAATCATTAATGCACACACATTGAAGGGGGAAGTATGATGTTGATATAGTACGAGTTATCTCGGATTTCGATCCATGATGCTTAAATGCAAGCGATTAGACGACTAAAGTAATAGCAATAAAAACTGTATTGTTAGCGTCAGATTTTGTTTTTTGCTAACAAAATTATGATTTCCGTCTCATGATTTTGCACAAATATGATTCATAACCCTTTGTGATGAGAATTTGAGAAAGATAACAGAAAATAAGTTTTCATCACTGAGGAATGAATGCATAGAAGTTGATCAGAGATTTGTTGAATACCACTTCTTGCTTTTGAATCTTTCTTCATTTAAAAAAATCCCAATATTTTTCAACGATTGTCTTAAACTTTTCATTTTTTTTAAAAGATGTCGGATAACAGACCAAAATTAAAAAGGATTAAAAGACAAATTGTGATAGTTTATTCAATATGGAAAATACTAGTCGTAGTATAGTATAATATAGGAATCGAGGTTGACATCAACCGACATGCATGGGTAACCCTAACAACAATAATATGATGTAATATTATGCTGAATCAGTGGTACAGCTTTGGGAGCACAGGTGACATCGCCCCTTCCTCTTCCCCTAATTGAAAAAAGGGGATAAAGGGAGAAAAATTAATATTCCACCCAGCCCGATGACCTTGTTCTTTAAAAGTATGCATTCCGTACTGAGATCCTCGTCGTCGTCCCCCCCCCCCCCTCTCTCTCTCTCTCCCTCTCTCCCCGCGGACAACATGAATTCGATCGGCACCCCTAAACGGCTTGATTCGCACTACTGATGAACGGACGTCTCCTAAAAACATATGTGGAAGTCTTTATCGAGGAGGAGCATTGATCTTGAGTATAAAATCCCGTTATAAGATACATTTATAAAAATAGATTTAGTGTTTTAGCTTGCTGGAGGTAATCCAGGCGGTGCAGATGGTATCCTTGAACCACCCGAATGGTACGGGTACGCAACAGCGGAAACACATGCGGTTGATGATGGTAGTGGTGGTGGTGGTGGTGGTGGTGGTGGTGGTGGTGGGTACGCTACGTAGGATACAGGGGGATAGGGCGCGGTGGACGGTGGATAAGGTTGGCTTGGAGGTAGGTGGAATGCCGCAGACGTTGGTGGCGAATAGAACCCTCCCGATCCCGGCATATTGAAGGACGTGAACTTCCCGATGTCTTCATACGCTGGTGGTGGAACGTCCGGTAGGCTCGAGTTTGGATCACCTATGTGGGTCAGGGCTAATTCTCTTATACTCTCTCTTGGTACGTCACCAAAGTCCTCTGTTCCTTCTCCAGCTACATCACCTGAAGGGTTTTCCGTATTTGCACCGGGTTCTGGTGAGGGAGGTTTTGAGGTGTTTTTCTTCAGGCAGCACTGATAGAAAAAGAACAATCCCACTAATGATCCAATGACGATTCCAGCTATTTCCCAACCTGAGAGGCCGTTACCTACAACAACAACAAAAATTGAGGAAATGGATGTGACAATGATAACAAAATATTGATTACAATCGGTCTAGAGCTAGATTTGTACCATGCAGTTACTGTGATATCTCTAATCCGATTAGCAGGTTTGAAAATGCAAGACCAGTAACATGACTGTTATTTCGTAGGCTATTAAACATAATTTTTTCCGTCTGTTGTGTCCTTTTACTCTTCAGTGAGGTTTCGTCATCAATATGAAACAAGATAACCAGAAAATTTCTGTGTAAAATGTTTTTGAATACAAAATCACTATTTTATCAGGACTATTTCCCCTTTGAAAATGTGAAAAGGTTGTGTCTGACAACTACTCCGGTAACAGTTGCTCCGTGGTCAATATCCTGCACAAACCGATTCTTGAGCCTGGACCGACCACTAATACTTTTATTTTTTGATTGAGTCTTATTTATCCAGGTAAGCCACATCATTATCAACACCGCTCTTAAAGGTAAAGACCAGTGTTTGGAAACGCCCCAATTTCAAAAAATTAAATGGAAGCTCTTATTACCAATCATGTGAAAGAGTATGTTTTGACTAAAATACATGATGATAAAAATGTTGCCGGGAAACCACGTACTAATTGATATATTTGATAAATTGGTTTATCTATTGGTGTGTGAGAGATAAACGCACGTGTCCCATATACATCTTTCTGTGTACAGTGCTTGTAACTTTACGAAGACTGGGCCAAATTTCTTATCATTTTGATGATTCCAGAACCTTGCAGTACACACCAATACTTATATGCTAGATGATCAACCTTTCCTGATCGATTCCACAACGTTTCTTTCACAATGCAATCACATGCCCATAACTGGTCTTTATCTTTAATTCCTGTGGGCCCTGCAATTATTATTACCCAAGCATTGATAGGTACCAATTTAGAGAGGGTTATATTTAGGCAAAATAAACTTGCCTAAGGATGTTTGCAACGAGTGTGTTGATCAAACCGAGAACCTCTAGCATATGAGTCGATCAAGAGCCTACACCAATTTATACCACAGTACTATCACTACTCATAACCCCCGGCCCCCACTCTGGGGTCGGAATGACCGCATGCGTGTTACCAAAATGTCCGGTAAAGTTTTCACGCACCAAAGTCCGGCTCGTACATACACAAAATTGACTTTACACACCGGACTTAGGGGCAGTTTTCAAAAGGAGGGAACACGCATATGAGTACCCTAAATAACACTGAGTGGGGGGGGGGTCATAACCCCATACCCATCTACATTTCTAATCGCAACCATTTTTATTTGACAAAAAAAGCCCTTAGCGACTGTCGCACACGCAGGAGCACATAGCTGCATGTGAGCATCCTTACATCTACCCTCGGATAGGACGTTAAATGGAGCCAAGTGTAGAGAAGAGTCATCGTGTACCTTTGCACGTTAAGAACACTCTGTACTTTTCGTATAAGAGTAGGGGAAACCCTGGTGTAGTGGTCCACCTGTACACTCCCGACCAGTTGTACCGGGAGGAGAGACCCAAGCGTTTATCAGTGATTCAGTTCGCTTTTCGGCTCTCAGTCGCAGGTGACGCCGTTACATAATAACAATAAGAAGAGGAACTAGAAATGCAATCGTGTCACAGTGATGTGCGTGCAATGACGCCATGTTTCTACGTGTCAAACGAAAGAGCTTCTCTCGGACTATCCAGAGCAATTTGTACGAAGTCTGTAGCTTCTGTAATATTGGAGATAGGTAGGGCGAAATAAAGGCCTCAACAGTGACCTTGATGGGATGGTAGTGACTATGCCTACGAAGTTTGAGAGAAATTGGGATAGGGGAAAGAACCTATAGAAAGGGCTCGCAAGCACTGCGTGCAAAAACCAATGGAATTTGGTGCATGTTCGTCATTGCAATCAAGATCGTTCTGGTGGCCAAAAGCGTGAACCGATATGCCCCATAGACAATTCGTGTCATGCATGGGCGGAAAACGTACAGGATCTGTATTTTGACCGGAGTTAAATTGTTTTTTTTCTCTCTCTCTCTCTTTAGTCTCTTTATGGGCCGTATTTGGTATCATTAGAAAGAGGATTTCATGGTTGTTATTGTAAACAACTCTCTTTTTTTCTATGATAATCCTATCGAAACACGTGATGTAAAATAGTTTTATAGGACAAAATGGCGTCTTAAATGGCCCCATTGACCAATTTCAAAAATCCGGCCAGGAGGTGCCCTGCGTATTGCAACTTGGCATGTCACTGCAAATTTTCAAGGAAAAAAAGGACGTTTAAGAGGCGAAAAGCAGTCTGAAAAAAATGACGTCAAAGCCGATACGTGTTAGATTCGGGCGGAAACTCGGCGGAATTCGTGTAGTGACCTTTGTTTAAATGCGATTTATTCACAATTTTCTGTGTGAACATAAAATTATACACTGTTGGTCATAATGGTGGGAATATTTATTTTTTCCCCAGTTTAGGGAAGGATTTTAAAAAACTACTTATTTCTAATAGATCTAGATAATGGCATACATTCTCAGATTTTATTGAATATTAATTTGCGAGTGTTTGTTTTGCGTGACTGCTAAAGCATATGTATGCTACTATACTTATCAACTAGGGGACCTACGCCCTTAAGTCATAAATGACAGTATGCCTCACAAAATGGCACTAATATAACATATCGACACGATTTTGATTAATTTAATTAATTTTGCTTAATCATATGTGTGCTACTATGCTAATCAGCTAAGGGACCTACGTCCTTAAGTCATAATTGACAGTAATGAGGATTAATGCCTCACAAAAGGGCACTAATATATAGCTGATCGACACGATTTTTATACTGGGGCCTCACAGTAACGAGGCCATTGCTTAGCCCCTGAATCATGACTGTACGCAGTGTTTGCTAGGGTACGCGGCCCCTTCCACAAATCCCCCAAAACGAAGAAAATGCAATAAATTGTCAAAAATTTATTGCATTTTCCCCCGGCTCCCAACAGGAAACATTCCTCTGTAGGGCCATGCATTATGGCTCAAGGCATGGCCACACAGAGGAATTTTTCCTGTTGGGGGCCGGGGGAAAATGCAATGAATTTTTGACAATTTAGTGCATTTTCTTCGTTTTGGTGGATTTGTGGGGGCTTTTTGTGGGGGATTCACTCGCCGCCCAAAATACACTCGGTGCCTGGTCGGTCGCCGCCCGGGCACTGACCTAATCGCTGGGCGATGCCGAATTCCAGCAGCGACCGAGCAGGCTACTGATCGGTCGGTCGCTGCTCTGATGGTGACACGACATTTGCTCCTGCGACAATTGCTCCGGGCTTTATTTCGTCTAAGATGTAGGGTTAGGGTTAGGGTTTCAATAGGGTTTTATTGCAATGACGACCTTCGTCATTGCCTTGTTTTCGTTCACATTCTGCCCCATTAATATTCTCCTTTTCCTTTTCCTTATCCTTATCCTTATCGTCAGGAAATCGCATTCGTTTTGCACGTAGTGTTTGTGATTCCTAGTTAGGTGCTTTTCTCATGTCCTTTTCCTTTCAAATTTCATAGGCATAGTCTCTAACATCTCATCAAGGTCACTACATTCTTCGATTTTGGAAATCACTCATGCATGACCGTCCAGGCGCCATTTTGTCCGTTTCTGGTCCATTTTAAGGCCTTTATATCTTCCTTCCTATCTCCACTATCCTAGATTCTACAAACTTCTAACAAATTCCTCTAGATAGTCTGAGAGATGTTCTTTCATCTGCGACAAATGACTTGACCTTCAAAATGCCATCTTCATACTCGAAATTCAAATCTAAAACCGACTCCGTCAAAAATCTCTCAAGTTCTTGAAAAATGGACCCCTAAATAATCTAAAACTGCCATAACTTTCTCATATAAATTCCGTTTTGTATTTAAATCTCACAGTATCTTTATCTCATAATTGCACATAGCCATGCCAAATTTCACGCTCCAATGGCTTTGCACAACATAAATAGCGCCCTCTAAAGTTCTGGGAATTGGCTTTCTCTCTGTGGCCGTATCTCCATAATGGCTTGGCAAACCCGTACCCTTTTTTGGATTTAGATACTTGAAGATATGCCCTTTCCAGCCATATACAAAATTATATACCCTATCACTGACCAAATTTGAGAAAATTGCCCTCCAAATTCGCCATTTTCAAGAAAATTCCGAAATAACTTCAACTTGCTCTAAAATGGCGATCTTTATACCTACATCCATGAAACTTGGCAGACATATGTATCCATATACGTGACAACTGTTTACTAAGTTTGGTAAAATTCGAATATGTCAGCGCAAAGTAATCGCCAAAAATGATGAATTTACTATGCATTACGTAATAGCGCGTTTAATGCGTGCAATACATTGCGCGCAGATAACAATGGTGTCAAACTGACCGCAATGAAGTGCCCTTTCGAATGATACCAAGTATGATATATGTTCATACAGAAAATTGTGAGTAAATCGCATTTTAACAAAGGTCACTACACGAATTCCGCCGAGTTTCCGCCCGAATATAACACGTATCGGCTATGACGTAATTTTTCAGACTGCTTTTCGCCCCTTAAACGTCCTTTTTTTTCCTTGAAAATTTGCAGTGACATGCCGAGTTCCAATACGCAGGGCACCTCTTGGCCGGATTTTTAAAATTGGTCAAGGGGGCCATTTAAGACGCCATTTTGTCCTATAAATCTATTTTACATCACGTGTTTCGATAGGATTATCATAGAAAAAAAGAGAGTGGTTTACGATAACAACCATGAAATTCTCTTTCTAATGATACCAAATACGGCCCATAAAAAGACATAAAGAGAGAGAAAAAAAACAATTTAACTCCGGTCGTATTACAGATCCTGTACGTTTTTCGCCCATGCATTACACGCATTGTCTATGGGGCATATCGGGTTCACGCTTTTGGCCCCCAGAACGATCTTGATTGCAATGACGAACATGCACCAAATCCCATTGGTTTTTGCACGCAGTGCTCGCGAGCCCTTTCTAGGTTCTTTCCCCTATCCCAATTTCTTTCAAACTTCGTAGGCATAGTCACTACCATCCCATCAAGGTCACTGTTGAGGCCTTTCTTTCGCACTATCTATCTCCAATATCACAGAAGCTACAGCCTTCGTACAAATTGCTCTGGATAGTCCGAGAGAAGCTCTTTCGTTTGACTTATCGAAACATGGCGTCATTGCACGCACATCGTTGGGACACGATTGCATTTCTAGTGTTAGGTTTAGGGTTAGGTTTAGGGTAGGGTATAGTGTTGAATCCAGGGTTGAAGTTAGCCATTCGATTAGTGTATGAAATTTACAGCGGAGCAATTGTCGCCGGAGCAAATGTCATGGAATCGCTCTGATTTGTGACCATAGCTTTACCATGATTAGGCGTGCACTGTATTCCAACATCTTCTGTATGATCGCAGTTGTTTGATCCCCATTCTTGATATATACAGTAGACCAGCCGCTCCTCATTCCCGTAACACTCGACATTGTCCAGCCAGATTGGTCCTACAGCCTCTTCGTAACCCATGAGCCCGGTGGTGAAGAACCCGTGGCCGCCGAACCCCAGTTGTCGACAGACCACCTGGCTGTTCTCGTGGTCCCAGTCGTCGTCGCATACGGTCCCCCATTGGCCGTTGTGGTAAACCTCCAAGCGTCCTTCAGAAGTGGAAGGACCGTTCACCAAACGCACTGTCCCTTCAGCTGTATTGGTCATAATTATTTTTTTTAGATCCTTTTTATTTCTTCCTTTTTCAAGTTAATATAACATGACAAGAGATGATAATTTGACAAGATAACATAACATAACATTAACAAGCATAATCATTAATGTGAACTTAAATGGAATTACATATTAACAAAATTATAAAGAATGATGCTTAAAGTGCTTAAATTTATAAATTTGTTATCAAATAAATTATGGTTTAAAATACATTTTCCTTTGACTCGAATGCACATGCTATTATATATTATTTCTATTTCCTTTATATGGTTCATATTTAATTCTAAATTCCTTTGTGTCCATCCATACCTCGAGTTCCTAAAGAATTTTGGCAAAGTTACCTTCAACAAACCAAGCCAATAATCGCAAGAGAATAAGAGGAAAATCAATTGCCTGGTAACTGTGAGCCCCAGGATCAAAACCGTGTCGCCCTCCCCCCCCCCCCCCCCCCCCCCTCCGTGGATCCGCGCCTCGGCCCATCATCTGAACATATTCCGCATTTCTACTAAGACTATTATTGAATTTCCCATAGTATGTTTTATTCTTTTCCCTTTTGTTGTCAGTTTTATCGTATATAGACTAGGTATTGCAGAGTGATGCGGTGATAAAGATCACATTTAATAACCATACCTTCAAATTCTTGATATATCCAATCATCTAATCTACTTTGCATGAATGGATTATATTTGGTAAATGTACACTATTGGTCATAAAGGTGGAATAATTTTTTTTACCCCAATTTATAGAATGATTTATTCCTAATAGATCTAGATAATAGTTTACATTCTCAGATTTTATTGAGTAATAATTTAAGAGTGTTTGTTTTGCGTGACTGCTAAAGCATTATGTATGCTACTATACTCATCAACTAGGGAACCTACGCCCTTAAGTCATAAATGACAGTATGCCTCACAAAATGGCACTAATATAACATATCGACACGATTTTGATCCTGGGGGCTTCACAGTTCAGGCACGTAGCCAAGGGGGGCACGGGGGGCACGTGCCCCCCTAAAATTTCCAAGATCGGTTGAACTTTTTTAGACCCCTTTTTTTTTTACCTCGATCGATTACATGTATGTGCCCCCCCCCCCCAAACATCGAACTCTGGCTACGTGCCAGTCACAGTTACGAGGCAATTGCTTTGCCACTGAATCATGACTGTACGCAGCGAGGGCTAGGGTAGGAGGCAGCACCCACAAATGAAAAAAAACCAAAGAAAATGTAATAAATTATCAATAATTCATTGCATTTTCCCCCGGTCCCCAATAGAAAAGAATCATCTGTTTGTCCATGCCGTAAACCATAACGCATGGCCGTTCAGAGGAATTTTTCATGTGTCCTCTGTGTCCATCAATTTATCACGAATTCACATTGTACGCACGTGGAGCGCATGTAGTAATTAAAGCTGTGTTTACATGCAGGTTAATTAAGCTACTGTCTCTGAAATGTGTGGTAATGGTGTGTTCTCACACCACATGGTGACGTGGAATTGGAATATCACCATGCCTCCATTCCACAGTTTGATTGCAATCTACATTAATTTTGTATCTAAAAAATGACGTGTGGTATAAAACTGTGATTCTGTTCTAAACTGTGACACACTGAGCTTATATACACACATCAAGGCTAGAGTGCCACCACACTCCACAATGTGATGTAAATTAAGATACACACATGGGAAATTTCAGATGACATATTCACGGAAGCGGCATCTATGGTCATACAATGAGAGTCTTAGTAGTTTGTTGTTCTTATCAACTTACCGGCATGAAGTGCGCACGTAACTCCGGCATCATCTGAATGACCACAGTTTGTGATTCCCCAGCCGCCATTTGAACATTCTGGCAATGTCAGCTCTCCTCCGTAACACTGAATGTCATCAAGCCAGATTCTGCCGTACCCTTGTCCAAATTCAGATGCACCATACACCTGGTCGACTCCAGCGTAACCCAGTTGTCGGCAAGCGACCGCGCCATCATTCAAATCCCAGCCATCATCACATATAGTACCCCACTCCCCCGAGTGGTAGATCTCAATCCGACCCTCATTTGCTGTTTCACCGTTTACGAGTCTTATGGATCCCTCTGATTCTATATAAATATAAGGACATTTAAACTCATATCATGTTAAAGATAAAGACCAGTTCCGGTCATGCGATTGCATTGTGAAAGAAACGTTGTGGAATCGATCAGAAAAGGTTGATCATCTAGCATATAAGTATTGGTGTGTACTGCAAGGTTCTGGTTTCCTCAAAAATGATAAGAAACTTGGACGAGTCTTGGTAAAGTTACAAGCACTGTACACAGAAAGATGTGCTTGACACGTGCGTTATATCTATCAGGTCCAAATAGATATAATAATTTACCAAATATATCAATTAGTAGGCGGTTTCTCAGCAAAATTTGTATGATCAAGTATTAGTCAAAACATATTCTTTCACATGATTGGTAATAAGAGCTTCCATTTCATTTTTTGAGAGGGGGGCGTTTCCAAAACTGGTATTTACCTTTAAGCATCACATTAAAAAAAAATATATAAGTTAGGCACACATTGATATATTCATTGAAGCAGCATCATGCAATATAATGAGAGACTTCAAAGTTTGTTGTTCATTTCAACTTACCGGCATCATTAAGTGAGCACATAACTCCGGCATCCTCTGAATGACCACAGTTGTGTATTCCCCATCCAGTGTTTGAGCATTGAGTCAGTAGGGCCTCCGTGCCACTGCACTGTACGTCATCCAGCCAGATACTTCCATACCCTTCTCCAAAATAGGAATAGCTGTAAACCTGGTCGACTCCAGAGTAACCCAGTTGTCGGCAAGCGACCGCGCCATCATTCAAATCCCAGCCATCGTCACATATAGTACCCCACTCACCCGAGTGGTAGATCTCAATCCGACCCTCATTTGTTGTTCCACCGTTTACGAGTCGTACGGATCCCTCTGATTGTAAAAGACATTAAAATTCAAATCATGTTAAGAATCACAGAGATAAGCACACTCAAAAAGTTCACAATGTGGACAAAACCGTGTATTTGATGTCTTCCAACTCCAAGTCGAATAAAACTTTAATCTTCCACAATGGAAGGGTTCACTCTTATTTTGTATCGTGTTTTTTTTAATAATATAATAATAATATTCCGCTTTTATATAGCGCCTAATGCATCGGTACAACGATATGTCTAAGCGCTTTACAGGTGTTTTTCGTTTGTCACGTCCACATAGACGCGACGTCAAAGATATAACGTCATTTCTGCGATTTGCGTCGGGTCGTCTCTCGTCGTCAGGCCAAATTTGAGAACGCGTTCATCCACGATTTGAGGTCAGCGGACTCAGGCTTACTCGCACACAATTTTTGCACATTCTTCACTCCCTGGAAAGCATTCCGGCCAGTCGCCATTTTACAAGCGCACACTTGCTCATCCAACCACATTAACTTTCGCATCCTACCTATTTAACACCTGGTGGAGAGTGGCAAATGTAGATTAACGTCTTACCAAGGACATTAGGCGGGGCTCGAACCCCGTACCTTGTGATCTGCAGTCGGGTGACTTATCCACTAGACCACAACACCTCTACTATTCAAGTCTTCTATTCAAGTCAATTTCAAATTCATTCATTCCAATATTACTCATACAAATATTTAACAATTTATTGATGCAATTCACATTTGGGAAAACATACATTGAAGATAATTATGATAAAAGTCATTAAAATATCAAACAAACTTCATACGCACTAAATGAAAATGACTGTGCATAGAAAATTATCATAATTCTAATTGGAGTATATGGAGGATTGCTAAAGGTCCAAGATCGAGGGAGAAAAAATATATTAATAACAACAATTATGTAACTTCACGACAAATCAAATCAAATCAAAAGAATGAAGTGATAAAACAAAACTATATAATTATAAAGACATACACTTTCCAACGTGATAATTTAGGGTAAGTACAAATGGTCATACAGGTACACTACTTTGTGATTCAAATAATTATGTGAAAGGCGTTTTAAATTTTCGTTTGTAAAGTGATAGAGTATAGGCTTTTCTTGAAATATCATTGGGAATATTATTCCAGCATTTTTGTTCCAATAAGATAAAGAGTTGACCAAGATGACTATTATCTAAGTAATAGCAAGATTAATTGTTTGTTTGTACCGTTGTTGTCTCATCATCATCGTCATCATTATTACTATTAAACCGACTCGACATTACAAATGGCTCAGTGGCGTCATGGTATGATGATGATGAAAATAAAACTGCTTGTGCTACTACAAAATTACTACGCCTACTATTACTACTACTACTACTACTAATGATATTCATAATAGTAATAACAATGATTAAAATAATAATAATAATAATAATAAAACTGTTGTTTTATTATTGTTAATATTATTACTATCATTAATGATAATGCTAATGATAAAAATAATAACAATGATCATGATCATGATAATGATGATGATGATGATGAAAATATACTACTAAAAATATGACTTTAACTACTATCTACTATTACAACTATTATTACTACTAATAATAATTATAATAATTAATAATAATGGCGGTGATTATGATGATGACAGCAACAACATGCAGCGACAACAAGGCTTGAAATAGAACATCTGTTAGCTCTCAAGCACATTAGATATCCATGCATGTTAACCGGGGAAGGGGGCGACAAATAGAGACTAATAATTTGCCAGAAGACGTTATTTGCTCAACATTTCAATATAAAAGGTGAAATGAAAGAACTACTATATACGTCACGACAATTTGAAATAGGCTACCTATAGCTGTTTCCCTATAGCTAGATTCGCTGTCTTATTTTAAATAGCTAGACATATATGTAATAGCCACTTGTATATTATACGACAATCAAAAGACACATACCATATTCTCCCTGAGAAAGAACTGTTTCAAAGAGTTTAGACGACGAGAGGAAGAGACATGTGAGGGTGGTCAACAATTTCATCCACACATGTTGATCCATATTTCTTTATATATGTCTCTTCCAAAAATGCACTACGGCTTACGACAAGCTTTATATTCAGTACAGCGCAAGCTGTGTATTCTCGTAAGGCGCTTTACAAATCGATTCCTTCACGACGATATATTACGCTGTCTCAATATAGTTTTATTTGGTGGTTTTGTGCAGTTTATTACCAAGTGAATCATCCCGGTATACAGCGAGTATGTATAGAGAGCAAACAAATGACCTGCATTACGTAACTTATTTGGGCAGTACGCGTACGTTAAGGATGACCGTGCATGCTCATCAGTTCATAGGGTGTGTCGGTTAGATCGAGAGAAAGAGATAACGGCATACTCTATCATAGGTTATTGAGACACAACCGCATCCATTTTAATTACCCATCATCGAAAAGATATGTAAATGCATGCAGGCATTGTAAGCAGCGAGGGATTGTCAACAATAATATTTTTTTTATATTTTAACTACAACATATCGCATCATAATTGTAGCGATTGGAATATGATATCTAGAAATAAATACTTGAACATCATTTTCCTTAGGGCAAGTCAGTGAGTCAGTGGATCCTTTCAAAATAAAATTTTCGATGCTTTATTATGATCTTTGAGATTTTAGAAGAGCAAGCTCATTTAACTCTATCTCTCTCTCACACACATCCAATCCCTTCAGGTAACACAGATGACACCTTAATTGCCCGAAATTCTTGTTTTCAAACTAATTGATAAATGATTATTCCCATCAGCTCATCGATCATTCATTGATTTTCTGATATTGTTGACATTTTTTCTTTACGAAATATTCAGTCGTGTGTTTATTTGTCCCGTCTTTCCTATAGCCATCTGATGAAAGAGTTTGTCCATTTTGCTTTCATGTATTGTTATCATTTCATGCTTTTCTTGACATTTTATTTTCTTTCCTTTCCTTTCCTCATATTTTTTTCAAATTTGATAATAGATTTCATTCAATTTTCGTTGCTGTTGTTGTTTTTCATACAACTTAAAGCATCAAACTTTTTTCTAAAGCTCTTTACTTTTCGAGAGTCAATGTCTGTATAAATCGTGTACAATAATTGCGTCTCAAAAAGCTTATAGTTGGTAAAAGTCTTTCAACTAATTATTTGAAGCAAAACAAATCAGGGAATTTCCAAACTTTATGATCTCTGAGTCATCATTAAATTTGACAATGTAGTTTACGCTTGAACGAGCAAAAATATTTTTTGTTGAAAGAGTGCAAAATACTTAATACAGCCTTGACAAGAATCGGCTTTTGCTCTGACTAGCTGGTATCAGCAAAGTTGAGAGTCGTGAAAAGGCTTGGAAATGTTCATACTCTGATCATTTAGGCCTATCAACTAGCTGCACTAGTTTGGCCAGGAGGGATTAGACCTCCCTGCAAGGTCACTGGTAGGTGGTTATCTCCTCAATGGGGAACCACTGGTCACCGATTTGTCATTGTTGGCTATATAGAGTGCGCAAGTAGCTATAAGTAGTGCAGTGGGGTTTAAAGACAACATATAAAAGAACAGGCTTTGTTCCAGGTCTTTCGGATAGTGACGTTAAAGGTCGGTCCCCAGACTTAAATAATCATATCCGATTGATCGTCTGTAAAAACCCAATTACACACACACACGCACACACGCACGCACACACACACACATGTATGTCCCAAAATATCCCATCAACATGTTATGGTTAAGTGAGCAATTAACTTAAATGCTTACTCAACTTTTGATTGTCGATTGTTTTGTAATAAATAGTACTATTTGATGAGCTTTATTTAATTTAAACGGATTCCTATAGTCACTTGATAAAACCAAACGGTACCGCATCGACTCCAAACTGACCGATTTGGGGCCATATATGCATATATAATGTAATATTTTCGTTCGGTGTGATGTCGGTGTGATGTCGGTGTGATGTCGGTGTGATGTCGGTCTTGTCGGTGTGACCGAGGTATGACATACTTTCGATGTTAGATAACTAATATTGTTCACCAAAGATAGCCCAGACAGAAATAACAATCAATCATCAATCAAAGTTTAATTGACGTATGGAAATATTAAGTGCAAGCTAAATCTGAAAATGCAAAACTTGTAAGTTTCATGATACCAGCCATAACAAATACCAATCATATTTGAAAGGTCTGTATTTGCACCCTTTCACAAAAAAATCTTTCACGAAAGTGGCTCTTAATTGCACAATAAAGCGTAAATATCGTCATATTGTTGGTGTCATTGATAGAAAAGACATTGAACTATCCACAGATCAACATGAATGGAAATTCCTGAAAATCGTTTTAAGTGTCCTTTAATTTAAAACTTTTATATTTTCAAGTTCCTTGCTTGCTTTTCCTATTTTTAACATTAAATTTAGATCACTCTTTGTCCTCCTTGGTTTATCTATTTACAAGTCGATAGTTGTTTGTCAGAAAATTCTAGCCATTCCAAGTTCATGCATAGCGAATTGTAAACGTTGAAGTTGTAAAGACTTAAACATTTCCAATTCTAAGTTCCCATTTTGATTCATCTGTGAGGGCAGTACATAAGTTTCGTAACTAAAGCTCTTAAACCCCCGGCGTTTAAACTCGGTATTGATTTTTGGGGTCCACCCTAAAACAGTGGCGGAACATGGATCCAGCCCCGAGCTGAAATGGGCATTGGTGTTCTGGTGATTGGGGGCCTCTGTCTTGTGAGATGGATGAAAAAGCGAGAAAAATGAATGTTGGAGAATGGTCATATCATCATATTCATAATTTGCTAACCCCTCTCTCTCTCTCTCTCTCTCTCTCTCTCTCTCTCTCTCTCCCTCCCTCGACCCCCTCTCCCCCCCCCCCCTCTGGTACCAGGTAAAAATGTCAGAGGTAAAAATGTCAGAGGTACAAATGTCAGAGGTACAAAATGTCAGAGGTACAAATGTCAGAGGTACAAACAAAAAGTCAGAGGTACACTGTCGCTCATAAAGTTGGAATATTTTTGTTTTACCCCAATTTATGGAATTATTTTTAAAACAATAGATCAAGATAAAAGTATTTATTGCATTTTACCCCGGTCCCAAACATAAACAAATCCTCTGGACGGCCATGGATTATGGCTCAAACATATTTTTATACCTTATTTGTGACATTGGCAGGTCAGGAATTGGCGGAAGCTCAGGGGTTTGGGGAAATAAATTACGGTCACATGAGCATATTTTGATACCTTATTTGTGACACTGGTAGGACACAAATTGGCCTGGGGTTTAGGGGGCGGAGCCACCAGAAGCTCAGGGGGGTTATACATCAAATTATCGTCAGATGAGCATATTTTAAACCTTATTTGTGACACTGGCATGTCAAGAATTGGCATTGGGTCCAGGTGGCATAGCCCCCTGAAGCTCAGGGGTTTCGAGCAATAAATAACGGTCAGATGAGCATATTTTGATACCTTATTTGTGACACTGGCAGGACACAAATTGGTGTTGGGTCCAGGGGGAGGAGCCCTCAGAAGCTCAGGGGTTTTATACATCAAATTATCGTCAGATGAGCATAATTTTATACCTTACTTGTAACACTGGCAGGTCACGAATTGGCGTGGGGTCCAGGGGCGAAGCCCCAGAAGCTCAGGGGTTTGGGGCAATAAATAACGTTCAGATGAGCATGCAGGGCCCGCGTAAGGGCCCCTGATGGGGTCGAGGGGGTTGAGCCCCTGAAACTTAGGGGTTTTATGGCCAAATAAACATATTTTGATACCTTATTTGTGACACTGGCAGGACACTAATTTTCGTGAGGTCCAGGGGGCCGAGACCCAGAAGCTCAGGGGTCTTAAGCATTAAATTACCGTCAGATTAGCATCCAGCCGTCCGCCTTTGGGCCAGGGGCAGAGCCACCAGAAGTCAAGGGGTTTTAGGCATTTAATAACGGTCAGATTATGAGCATATTTTGGTACCTTATTTGTGCCTGACTTTGGGCCCTAGGTGCAAATCAGGGGGCAGAGCCCCCAGAAGCTCAGGGGTTTTAAGGCATTTAAAGATAAAGGTGAGTTCTGGTCATCTGATTGCATTGTGAAAGAAAAGCTGTGGAATGGATCAGAAAAAGTTGATCATGTAGCAAGTAAGTATTGGTGTGTAGTGCAAAGTTCTGGAGTCATTAAAATCATAATAAATTTGGCCCAGTCTTGGTAAAGTAACAAGCACTGTACACAGAAAGATGTATATGGGACTACACAAATTATGTCGGGGCTACTAACTTTGATTTCCTAATCTTTCTATGTTCATTACTCAGCCAGTATACATTTTCTACCAAAATTGCTTGGCAAATAACATTTATTTGTTATCTTGAACATTCAGTGTAAGTTTTGTTAGACTCTGTGAGAATCCATTTTCTTTTTTTCTTTTTTTACCAGTCAGAACTCATCTTTATCTTTCATCACGGTCAAATGACCATTTTTTATGTTTTCTTTTGGCCCCGGAAATTAGAAATTTACGTCGTCAGATATTTCGTTCAGTGGCTAAGGAGTGGGGAAGAATTTTTTTGTTTAATATATGCTTCCTTTAGCACCAAAAAAAAAAAAAAAAAAAAAAAAAAAAAAAATCCCCTTTTTTTCCTTCTTTTTTTCTACCTTTTTTGTTTTGCCTTCTTTTTTTACCTGGATCCGCCACTGGTACTTTGTACGTGTACCGAAGTTTACAATAATACTATCAAACCGAAACAAAACAAAATAAAACAAAACATTTTTGTTCCACCTTTAAACTCATGCCAAAACCATTAACAACATCCTTTAGACCTTTTCCTTTGGACCTGTACAGTTCGAGGTTATTTTTAGAGTCAGTTGTACTCTTAATAACCAGCACTTAGTACGCTCTATTTAGTATAACTATATCACATTGTTTGTACTTGAAAAATAAGTACAAATTAAAGGAATGAAATGAAAAAGGAGTTCAACTGTTCTGGGAAGAGATATGTTTTCAATAATAACTTAAATTGGTCTATGGACTATATGATTTGATGAAAGTTGGGATAGCTTTCCATTTGTTGGATGTAGTTACAGTAAATATGCGATTACAAGCTTTGCTACGAGTTTTTGGAATGGTTATCAAACACATGAAACTAAATCAAGGCTGTCGTGTAATTATATCAGCAGATCATGGTCTACATCCTTTCTAACCATTTTTAAATCACCCATTTAAAGGTCAAATTCAAAGAAAATCACAAATAATTATGTCAACTAATGTATTACTAGAAACTGGTAAGCTAACAGATGGCCATGGTACAAGTTTTATGTCAACTACATATTGGGTGATTTATAAAAATACAAATACAACCACCTCCATAGCAGCTGGGATATACGAGAGATTCGCCGGAAAAATAACGATGTTTTAATGACGTCACTATATGGATCAATACTGCCCAAGCAGACAACATCCCATAAAGAATGTACATAATTGTAAAGCTATTATTTGTCAAATTATAATGAGTTTAGTGTATATAAATGTAAAGGCATGTCAAACCGTTCAAAAGGGGATATGACCCGATTCTGAAAACTAAAATCTTTTGCTTGTAAATACACAGGATTGGGGTTAATTAACAATCAAAGAAACCAGACTTTCAAATTGAAAAAACCCCGGAATGATATTAAGAATGGCACTTGTTCCCTCTTGAAACGCCGAACATACCGCGGTGTGTGCAGTTGAATATACAATGCCGTCTTATTTTGTTTACAAGCGAAAGATTCCTTTATTTTTGTATCACTGCATTTGTCATCAAAATAAAACCATGCGCGGGGTTTAGAGTGAGGCAATAGATTTTATTTAGCCTGACGTAGTAAAGTAAGAGAAAGAACTCAAGAGAAGATGAAAAAACAGGCACTGAAAATGTGTGAAATGTCATGGGACATCGTCTGCTTGTGCAAATCATGTCCATACTGTGATCTCACACAGATCAGCAGCGTTCGGAGAGCTCTTCAGGTGCTATGCCGGGGCTGTATTTAAGCGTTTTGTAATTTATAATAATCATTATTTCGAATGTTTCCAAGCATTGAATTTTGATAACCTTGTCGAATCAAAGTTTCAACTTTGCAATAATGAACATAAAGTTAGTTTTTAAAAAACAAAACAGTGGAATCACAGTGAGTACTGTTTGTCTTTTTTTTTAAATCATCAATTGTGTCCATATAATTCAATTGGTAGGTTGGTAAAATATTGATATAATATTAGATAGCTTTGAGTGTGATACAAGAGTATATTGCCATAGCGAGAGCAATATTTTCTTGTATCACACGAAAACAAAGCCATTAATATTATTTTTTATTATCTAGAGCAGGCTGACTAGCGAAATAGCAAAATTAGACTTTCAGTTTTTTGGGAAATCAAGCAATATTGTGAGAGTATTGTAAACCCACTAATGACCTATGACCTTAATGGACATGGAAACCGATGACCATCTCCATTTAAGGTTTCAGGAATCAAAAGAATTTCCGTCTATTATATCGAACTTGTTCAATAGAGCGGTTTATCACAACCAGGAGCTTATATTTTGGCGCTGAATGCCATCACCTATTAAGAGCCGAAATCATTTTGTGAAAATCTAAAATCTGGGATTTTGTGAGAACTGGAGAACTGGGGAAATTGTCGAGATTCTCGAGATTCGGATACAACAAGAATTCCTTTTCAACGTTGGGCTAGAAATCTGTTAAAAGGTAGGAAATAGGCCTACATGTTTTGACATTTAGACTTGACTAAGAAATCTCACGAGTTTGATATTTTTTGGAGTTTGGGGAAAAATCACGCCAAAATCTCTGATTTTGGCTAGAAGAAAGTAGGTCTTTTTTTTTTTAGGTGATTCCTAAGTTTTGGTACGAATTAAAATACATCAAGCCATTCTCTTCTAATCCTAGTGTACAGCTACGTTCGTGACTCTTGTGTTTGGACACGCAACATTAGTATACTGTTTCGCTGTGAATTGCTGTGAATTTTTCTATATTTTTGTTTGCTATTGTATGATTAAGATAGCAAAACAGTATGCATAAGCTAATGACAGGTGCCTTGCAGCTATCCTTAATGAAGTCATTTTGTGTGGTATAGAAGCTCCATAAATGAGACTTTTTCTATTAAGAGTTTGAGAAGAGTAGATCTGATGTTGTTCATCAGATCTACTCGTCTCAAACTCTTAATATAAAAGACTCAGATTCTGATACTTTAAGCTCTGATAAAATTGCTTCATTGTTATTGAAAAGTATATAGGGTCAAATAATATAGTCCCAACTCCCAAGGCAAACATTGCTTCAGGTTTAAAAAAAATTAATGTACATCTAGATCTACTTGGTATAGAGTATGTTTTTTTAAAGAACAAATCTAAATCGCTTGATGCTTCGTTTGCTATATTGCAATCACAATTTTCATGCAAAGCTTTTGATTTGTTGAGACTTTCCATTTAATCACTCATACTTATCCTTCAAAGGCTTTTGGTCCACAGCCAACAGATGTTCTAGAAGTCATTATTCTACCTATGGTCACTTAATCGGACGCCTATTAACACTGGACACCTCATAACACCGGACAACTTTTAAATGCCCGTATATCCTAGGGAATTAAAATGACTAATATGCATCGAAGGTCAACGCAGAATGACGAGTTGACCTAAATGCACTTGTTACCTATACACAGGGGCGTCGCTAGAGGGGGTGTGGGGTTTGTTCTTCATTTTCCGAAAGAGCATAACAAATAACGTCCAAGTGTCGAAAACCAGTTAAAAAGGTTAAGTACTGGCTGAGATATGACCATCTGAATGAAAATATTTCCTATAGGAGCTCAGTGTTATATTGCTCTGGCTCATAGCTCACAGCTGTGTCGGATATGGCGGGCGGAACGTGCCATATTCATGACAACTAAACATCCATCCGACAGATGTATAGTTTTAACCAATCAGAACACAGGAAACTGTACGATTATACAACTATACGACCTATACGGCTATTCACGGCTATGTGGGCCGAAGTGCCATAACTATACAACCATACGACTATACGACTATACAGCCAGGGGGTTTAACTACTGCACATGTACTAGTTTCTCTCTGCGCGAGCATAGAAACTCCTAATCAGTAGCTTTAACTACTGCACGTGCAGTAGTTAAAACCCCTGATCAGGGTTTTTTTTGCTCTCGCAGGCCCGGCCATACTTGTTTACAACTAGACTATACGTGTTTACAGCTAGACTTTTACTTGTTTACACAGTTGTATAGTCACTATACCATTGTATAAACACGTACAGTTTGCGGCGTTCTGATTAGTTAAAACTATGCCTCCATTCGATGGCTGTATAGTCGTATATAGTTGTATAGTCATATAGTTACGGCACTTTGGCCCGCGCGATAGCTCAGTCGGTAGAGCAGTGGTCTCGTTATTCGATGACCCGGGTTCGAAACCAAGTCGATGCACTAGTGCCCTTTGGTAAGGCATTAATCCTCATTACCAGGTCCCTCGGAGAGGACCTTAAGCCGTCGGTCTTCTGGTTGCTTACTTACAAGCATTTATTGCTTTCTTAGCTGTCAGGTAAAATAACCACCACTACCACTACCACTGGAAACTATACTTGCGTTCAATGGATGCATACCCGTATAGTCGTATATTATATTTGTATTGTATGGTCGTACAGTTTCCTGCGATCTGATTGGTTAAAACTATACGTCCATCGAATGGATGTATATTTGTATAGTTGTCGTGAAGATGACACGTTCCGCCCGCCGTAGGCCTTCGTGGCTTAGTCCTTCGTTTGTCAAGCATATTTTATATTTCTTTAATTTATTGTCGATGTTTTGCTTTTTCGAAGTCTTTATTCTTCTTCTTTCTCTCCTTGTCGACCTGAAAATAACGAACTAATTCTACATCCTCCAGCGCGATGGCCTCTGAAAAGACTAGAGCAGAACGCAACTACGAAGCTCGGGTTGACTTAGCCACAGCCTACCGTGCCTGCAACTACTACAACCTCAATTATGGTATCTTCAACCATATAACGCAGAGGGCGCCTGCCAAAGATCGAGAGGGAGATGTTATGCTTATAGTTCCGTATGGATTGCTCTGGGACGAGGTACAAAACAAAACGAGTAATACTTTCACTCATGTAATCTCAAAACAAACCTCACCCTAAAGAATAATAATATTGTAGGCATTTTGAAAAATGAGATAATGATGATGGGCGCAGCCATTTCCTCGAAAATGTGACGTATAGTTAAAGTTGATACTCTAAGCAAATAAATGTCCCTTAATTTGTTACCTACGTCAAGTATATGTTATTTTTAAGTTTTTCAATTACTTAGTATATCACAAAAAAATTCTGTCTACTCGAAATCCTCAATTGAAATGTCGAAAATATCCGCCTCTCTTTGCATAGAAAATCAGTCACGGCGCTGGTCTATTATTTATGACCTCACGTCCGGGAAAGAGTATATTCACGTACCCGGATGTTCCATAGCAAACATGTGCAGAGTGATACGATTTTCTGCATATTTTTGTTTCAAAGGCTGAAAAGTCTAATAAATTATAATTCTATGTACAATTCTTTACCTTCCCCTAGTACTTCATAGTATTAATATCAATTCCCCTTTTTAAAATTTTGACATATACCAGCCAACGATGTGCTGTTAGTCGATATTTTCACCATGTAATTTTTGTTTTGGTGTTGAAATCGGCCCAGGCACGGAGTGAACAGTAGCTGTCTACCCATGCACAGTTCATTACCATACACTACAGCGATCTCCCGATGGTTTCTTCTTCCTTTTTCCCCATGTCTTTCGCCTTCCTTGGCCCTGAAAATCCTTCATCTACCAATTCTGACACCGGTAGTCAGGAGCAAGTCTTTGTTAGTTGTTTTTCTTAGCTGGCAACGTCGCTTTCATTCTCTTGCAATTGCCGATAAACATAATATAACTAGCGCACGTACGTTCCATCACAAGCAAGCAGCGCCTATAGAGCAGCGGCTAATTGGTCTTACCTCCCGATTCTGCTCGCTTCACGAACGTTCATGCAAGAGCCGCGTCACTCGCCAAAATATTATAGAGGAAGCGCGCTTGCATGATCTCGTTCAAGTTTGATATTTTACAACATAAAATGTTTAACTGGTACTGTATCATTTTTTGAGGCAGTCACACACATCAATGATAATTACTATCATAGTTCTAGACCTATTCGTTTTACAAAACTGCTCCTGTACCTTATCTGATGACAATATAATGCATCCGCCTATTCATACGTCGACGATTTAACTTTAATTCCTAAGCAGTAAACTCGTCTTAAATCTCTACCAAATAGGTGAATATGAGGATATAAAAACAAATCAGCGACTGGAAAATGTTGCTTCGTTATTCTTCATTCAAATGAAAACAGAAAATCCATCAAATATACTCCTTAACAACAACAAATCTAAGCTCTGACAGGATAGCATTTACGTAGGGATATCACTGCCATTCACTCTCACTGAGCCCATGAGTCCCGTTCGTGACGTCACGGATAGAGGCCCGACTCTACGTGCACTTCCGGGTTTCAGACTTAGATATTTTGGTAGAGTTTACTCGAATAAATTCATTATTCTAAACTTGTTTTGTCGGGTGGACACCATTTGGTGTTATTATGGGGGTTAAAAGCTTTCTATTTATGTAATTATCTCAGTATTTGGGATTGTCTTAGAGTATCAACGAAGTGACGGTAGTGAGGAAAATCGTCATGCAAAGTGAATGCAATTTTTTTTCACTACCGTCACTTCGTGAAAACAGCGACGATTTATCATGCTGATTCATGCACCAAGTTTTAGTTGGAAAGACTTTTTAATTCAATAACAAAACGTTTACTTTTCAATGAGGAAAAATCATCGCTAAATTTTTTTTAAATTACCACCAACTTATTTATGCAATGTGCGTTCTGGCAATTGTAGTGCAAAGGATAATAGCAGGTAAATCAAATGCTTCATCACTACACAGACCTGGGAAGGAAGCATTCATTAATTTGAATATATTTACTTGGTAATTCAAATAGAACGTAACGTTATCATAATATGGCGATGCCCATGTCATGCTGAGAAACTGTACATTATTCTTGCTTTATGCCTCTCTCAAGCAATTTGGAGGGGAATCTTGTAAAAGAATGGTCACGAATATAATAAATCTTCTGAATAAGTAAAGCTATCTCTTGGGGTGAGGTTTCCTTTAATGCAGTGTGACTTACTTTCAAGAATACGATCAAAACGTGGAATATTGTTAGGCCCATTCAAATTTTTTGGAAGAGCATGTTCCGCTTTAAATGCATGTATTTCAGTGTGTCTCCTTCCCGGCCCCCACTCAGTGTTATTTAGGGTACGCATATGCGTGTTCCCAGCACCCCCCCCCCCCCCCCCCCTTTCAGCAAAAGTCCGGTGTGTAAAGTCAATACGGGTCGACCTTTTTTGTTTGTTATACGAGCCTTTTTCAGCACCCCCCCCCCCCCACCCCCTTTCAGCAAAAGTCCGGTTTGTAAAGTCAATACGAGTAGACCTTTTTCTTTTGTTACGAGCCGGAGAGTTTGGGAACACGCATGGTATCCCTCCGTTCACGGAGTGGGGGGGGGGGGAGGGCGGGGTCCCCTTGCAAAAGACTAAGAAAGATTGAGAAAGTTTGAGAGATCTATAGAGATCATAGAGATATATATCTCTATGATAGAGATCGATAAAAATTAGGAGAGATCTAGAGAGACCGAGAGAGATCGAGAGAGATCGAGAGAGACCGAGAGAGATCGAGAGAGATCAAGGGAGAGAGAAAGAGCTAGAGAGATCAAGAGAGATCAAGGGCGATCGAGATAGACAGAGTGTAATCGAAAGAGATCAAGAGAAATCGAGACTGATCAAGAGAGCAAGGGAGATCGAGAGAGATCGCGTGAAATCGAGAGAGATATAGAGAGAGATCAAAAGAGATCACTAGAGATCGAGTGGATTTGTATGTGGAGGAAGAATCTTTAAACGTACCCTTTCGTTCTTTTTTTTTTCTTTCTTTACTATTTTCTCTTATGAATTTATTAAATGATATGCATTAGGTCACTCAATCCTGTCTCATCGGCATCGACTTCGAGACCGGAGAGGTAGTCGAAGGAGAAGGTAAAATCGCCGAAACAGCAAATGCAATTCACCGTGCTATCCATCGCACACGTTTCCCCATCGACGGTACAACTAGCATAATGCACACACATCAATCATATACTACCACCTTGGGTAAGCTCAGATTCTAAGCAGTATTAATAGATAATTGTATAGCATCACAAATTTTCGGAAGCTTAATAGATTTATACCCCTAAGAAAATAAATAAATTAAATATTGAGGCATTATTTTAATGCAATCTGTTATAATACTCGTTTTCTTATTGACTGCATTTTCGTAAATTGTTAGTAATTATTTGTTTCGTATGGCCTAAATGGAATTTATGCTTCACTGTCTTCAAATAACTCTTTTTTGTTGTTCATTCAAACACTATTGTTTTCTTTGTTTTCTAATGTCTTGATATGTTATGGTAAATTCAGCTTGTGTGGATGATCCAGAACCCTTCAAATTCGGACTTTCGCAGGGAAGCATGTTTTTCTATGGAAAGATGGCGTTTGATCACGGTTACACAGGATTTGCTCATGCTAATGATGAAGGGTACAGACTGGCTAAGGTAAGTAGATGAAAAAATCTTTCGTTTCCTATCATGATCATAGTGCAATCTCTAGCTTCCCGCTAATGCTACCCATCACTATAACACATTTTTCATGTCACGAGGCGTCATTTTGTCCGACGTTTCATGACGTCGCTGCAACATATTATCACGAGACATATTTATGCGAGTGATATCCGGCTCCAGTGGCAGGTGAGAACGTAGTCAAAATGACGTCTCGAGGGCAAATGATACACCGGTAATACAAAAATGATAAGCCTATATTTGTGTCAACTAAACTACCATTTGTGCCAACTCAACTACCATTTGTGCCACACCATAATGAATTTGGTTGCTTACTTAGAAGCATTATGTGCATGCTTTTATAGCAGCCAGCTAAAATAAGCCGCCAAGACAAACGTAACTCTTACCATGACAGACTCTCGTCATGTCTGACTTTCGATACAAAACGTGAAACTCAACCCTGCGTTTGACCATTTTCCTGAATATTGTTTTTAATTCCTTTTGGGGTCAAGTCAGTCGATGAAGCCACTTCCACATCCAGAGTACTCCCCTGGCTTTTAAAGTACAACTCTGATTCCAAGCTGTTCTTTTTGCAAAAATAGGAGGGTATGCAATTGCAATTGGATTAATTAACAAGCCAAAACAGCCAATAGGTTGATCTTCAAAAGATATCGGTTCTGCAGACGACTCAAATTCAATCATTCAAACTTAAAGGAGTCCGTACCAAAAAGAAAAAGCACTGCCCATGTATTTTATTGAACGTTGCCCTTTCAGTATGATACTTCAGGTTTTCCAGGCGTTGGTGACATAAATACTGGCACTCATCTTAAACTTTTGCTCCCTTTCGATCCCTCTTTCAACCAGGTTCTCGGTGATAAAAGTGTCTTGATGATGTGTAATCATGGGGTACTCACTGTTGGTAAAAGAGCAAGCGACGCCTTCTATATTCTGTACGAGCTTGAAGTATCCGCAAAAATTCAGGTTAGTGTTATAGGGAAATCAAACACTAGTCTTTTTAACACTTAATGATAATTATGCGACAAGCGAATAATCTCCCTGTGTCACATTGTCTAGCATGGGATATTATGTACAAAAGGCTTCAAGATTATATTTTAACTGTTTCCAATGCAAGATCAATCCAGTGTTAGAAGGGTTGTCATCGAGCCATCGGGGTCAATCCGCGGGGGGGGGGGGGGGGACAGGGGAGATACGTCCCCCACGATTTTTTCCATCAAATGTTCCCCCCCCCCCCCCCCATGTTTTGTCAGAAAAGAAGGGGAACCACCAGGAACAACGATTTGTATTATTGCCAAAGAGATGAGAGTTAAATTCTCGTTAAAAAAAATGTATTACTGGACATCTTTCCCATTGGTTTCATCGAGCAATATGACTAATATGACTTTTTTTTCCAAATGTGTTTAACTCGGACGGGTCTTTTTTCTGTTTAGAGGACATAAAATGGTATGCTATCCATAATATTAGGGTGATCACACTGCCTGTGCAAACAGTCTGCCCCGCGAACACACACACACAACAGAGTTCAGTTGATAGAAATAGCAATTTTTGTACATGTATTTTAAACAAACTAAACAATACTTTTAAATTTTTATTTCACATATATTTCAAGCATACCTTTAACTACAATTCTGTGTAGTTTTATTGTTATAGGCATGTGGAAAATATGTTAATTATTTAATTAGAATATTATCTTTTCAGTCATGTGTGACATGGCCCGCTGATCGCCCATTGACTCGCGCTGCTATTCTGCGTGGTGAAAATGCACCTCAATGTATAAAACTCTCCTACAAAAATGCAATATCCTCATGTGTTTCACTCATTAAATCAATTTGTTATTTATACTCAAGGTAGCCACAACTGTACTGGGGTCACCAAAGTGTTTGTTACTCTGAAATTCAGTTTCTGTGGAATGTTATGGTCTGTTGAATGGTTTCTCGGAAAATCATCATAAATCCTCAAATCTGACATCTTTTAAATAGGCAAATATACTGTGATGTAGCTGAAAGTCTATAAATTCTGATTATATGACCGGTTTTTAAGAATAGTTTGTGAAACATATGAGGAAATAGCTGTGACGGCGATCCAAGTAATTTCCATCGCCATATTTAATTGGCATTGCAAAAATATTTGGAATTTAAGGTTAATATTTGGTGTAAATATGATCTATGAATATATGATTTAAAAAATGCCCTAAAAATGAACAGTTTGACTTACCTAATTTGCATAATGAGTGCGCGAATATATAATTTAGCTGAAATGACCTAATTTGCATATTTGATGAATATTCATGATTTTTTTAATTTTATTTCAAATGAAATATATTTCCATACCTGTCTGATATACATAGGTTTCACTGATGTATCATGTTCGGTTTTGATTTGATTACATAATGCGCATATTAATTAGGCGGACTTAGTTATTTTCACAACTTATTTGCAGATTCGCAAAAATGGCAAAAATGACTTATTTTGTTGACTTCTGTTTTCAAAACGGTAATAGATGTATGAATTTTCTTTTTTGTATTTTTTACCACAAAGATGATATTTTAGTGTCTGATAATTTATTTTATTATTTGTGTCCAAGAAAGTGTTGAATTAAGTTGTCAACTTTGTCGAATTATGCCATTTTTGCCAATTTGACCATTTCTGGCAGGTTTTTCTGTAATTTTGCGATATAAAAAAAAGGTAATCCGACACATGCTCCGGCGACGATTACTCCGGTGACAAATGCTCCGCAAAAAGCGACAATTGCTCCGCGACATTTGCTCCGCGACATTTGCTCCGACGTCAAACGCTCCGCCGACATTTGCTCCGCCGACAATTGCTCCGCCGACATTTGCTCCGCCGACAATTGCTCCGCCGACAATTGCTCCGCCGACATTTGCTCCGCCGACATTTGCTCCGCCGACAATTGCTCCGCCGACATTTGCTTCGCCGACAATTGCTCCGCCGACATTTGCTCCGCCGACATTTGCTCCGCCGAAAATATTTCTTTTATGGGTTATTTTTTTGTTTTGTGTGATTTGTTTTGTTGCTGTTATTCAGGGCCGTAGCCAGCGTTCTGAGAAGGGGGATGCGTTTTAATTTCCCGATCAGATGACACCGATGGGAAAAAAGTGATAAACCTCTGCGAAAGAGGCAATCCCTTTTTGAGGGGGAAGGGGGTGGGGAGCAGGTGCAGAAACTTCAACCTTTAGTAGACCTTCTTTCAACAAATAGTGATTTTTCTTGGGCACTATATCATTTAAGGTTATATTTATTCCCTTTTGGTAAACGATGGTATATAGCGAGAGAGAGAGAGAGAGAGAGAGAGAGCTACAAATGTAGACTTATCAATAATATTGAATAGCATCTTCCTGCTAAATTTCCCTCCTTGATTAAATGGGCACGTTTATACCATAAACTGAACAGCGAACGTTTAACCCATGAATTATTGTCAACAATAATGAGTATCCAACAGAGTTTTCTTGCTGCAGGACGGGTCGGGTACATTCATAGTTAAGGCGATGTCAATTTTATTTTTAGCGAGCGGGCGGTTTTAAGCTTATTTTATATTGAATAGCATCTACCTGCCTTCCGCCATTCTTCGTCTGACGTTTAGGAGCTGCACACTCGTCAAATGAATATGTTACAAATTATAATCGCGAGTTAGCGTAGCATGATATGTGAGCGAGTTCTTTTGCACTTCTCTTTTGATAATAATTATAGGCATATTTTTGATATAAGTAACTGTGTCGTCTTGACCCTTGGAAGAGAGGGCACAAACACATTTAAAGGTACTATGTCCCATTTGCAGGCCAAAAAAAATGAAAAGGTTAAATTCCAACTGCATTTGAAATTAAATACTAATTTAGAACTTCCGTAAAATAAAAAAAAAGGGGGGGGGGCTTGAAAATGTCTTTAAGTGGGAAATAACGACTATTAGTTGTCGAATCGACTTAAGGGCTATAGAGCCAGTAAGTAATAGTCTGATTTTCAGACCATTGTACCGAATGGTCGTATGTTTTATGCTGCGCAAAGATTCAATCATTTTAATTTTGGCCCTTACAAGAAGTGGGTTATTGATGTTGACAAAATGCTCATGTACCCTTTACAGCTCATTTTATGTATGTTATTACCAAAGAAGAAAAAGAGCCAGTTTGTCACTCAATAGTGTCTAATCAGTAAAGCTTAGCAAATAAACAGGTTTCCTTCATAATTTGAATATTAGGACACTGCTAACGTTTAACTTTCACAGATAGGACATACATGACATATTTATAATTCCTGCAAATTTCTACATAATTTGATGTTGGCTGCAAAAGGGAAATAGTAGCTTTAAGGGTGTGTGTTTAAAAAAAAAATTATTATTTGTTAATTTGGCGAACAAGGAAGGTGAAAATCATAGGTTATTATCTTAAATAGAATTTGTCTACATTACGCCCCTTAATTTGAATCAAATGGGCAAGTATTATTCCAGGATTTATTGTTTATTCCTTGTTGGCGACTGGCGAGCGAGCTAGTTAACGAATGGTCGAAATTCTTTGGCTTGCGATTTTATATTAAAAAGCATCTGCGTGACCAGCATCGCTTGTTAATCACTGATGTACAAAATGTATTACGATTTACGAACATATAAAGCGTAGCGAGCAAGCGAATTTTCATCCTTTTCATATAATAACTGAAAACCATCTGCCTTAATCACTTATGATTATTTCACGAGCATGTAGTATATTTCATACTCCATTTTATTTCTAGTTTTTCTCCGACGTGTCCCGACGCAGCGCCGGCAAGATTTACCGTAATTAATTTTCCTATATTCTATTTTGTGTCCCTTTTCCCTTGTCTTCAGCCTTTTCTTGTCTCTTTTCTTGACCTTTTCTTTTCCATGTTTTCTTGTCCTTTTCTTTTCTTTTCTTGTTCTTTCTTCCTATCTTTTTTTTCCCTGCAAAAGGGAGCATTTGTCTTCAACGGGGTACTTTGGGGGCGGAGCAAATATCGGCGGAGCAATTGTCGGCGGAGCAATTGTCGGCGGAGCAAATGTCGGCGGAGCAATTGTCGGCGGAGCAATTGTCGGCGGAGCAATTGTCGGCGGAGCAAATGTCGGCGGAGCAAATGTCGGCGGAGCAATTGTCGGCGGAGCAACTGTCGGCGGAGCATTTGACGTCGGAGCAAATGTCGCGGAGCAAATGTCGCGGAGCAATTGTCGCCTTTTGCGGAGCATTTGTCGGCGGAGCAATCGTCGACGGAGCATGTGTCATGGAACCAAAAAAATGGTATAAAATCACAACGCATTGACCGATTTCAACTCTGTTTTTCATTTTTTCAAGCTTTCATAAAGCTTGATCATTTGAAACCATCAAATAACATGTGTTTGTTGTAATTATTTTTGGTGTGCTATACATAATAATATATTTTCGGTATTGCCCCAAGGGAAAAGACGCCTAGGCGAAGAAAAAACAAAAACAGAATTGATCGGATTTATTTTTCAGTCACACAAACGAGATCAATACCAGACAGGCAACAGATAACTTAGTGAGATGGGTGTTGAATGCTCTTGATAATAAAGAGCATACAATTTGTCTATACTTGGATATTTTTAAAACTTTGTGATTGCAACTAATCATCATTATTGTTACTTACCAAACTCAGATTTTCTGGAATTAGGAGATTAGTGTTTCACGCAATTAAAGATTATTTAAAGGATAGAAAAAAGTTTGTAAATTTATAGGAGTGTTCTATTCACGGGCCCCTGTTTTTTCTCATTCATGTAAAAAGTCTTCCTAATTATGTGTCAGAAGTTTCGCATATACTATATTTGCAGATGACACGATCGTTTTTTAAGTGATTCAGATTTGAAGTCCAAACAAATAATATAGAAATAAACAAGTTTATTTTATTGGTTTAAAGTTAATGGCTGAGAAAACATATATGCATTTACTACCCTAAACACAAAATTTGACAGGGATTTATTAAATGTTAAAGTTCTAAGTTTTCAAACTAGTCTGACTCAACGCATCTGCAATTTCTAGGTCTTGCAATCCATGAAAAGCTCCGAATGACAACACATTGTGAGGCAGTTAGGCATAGTCCTATGGAATGGATTAACGGGTGACATTGAAAACTCGGAACCACTTTAAAGCTTAAAAACAAACTTAAGAAAATATTTATTGTTAAATATACAATATGATATTATATTAATTCAGGGGTATAACCCTGACAAGCAATTTTTGCTTTTGTTTTCCCCATCTACATACATGTACTAGTTTACCATATTTCCTCCATTGTTATTTACTATCTTTTTTCTGTTGTCATTTTATTTACTATTCCTTTGTATTTTATAATATACGTTATTTTGCATTCTACATGTTGTTTTAAATTGGAATGTGAAAAATGAATAAATGAAATGAAATTAATTAAATATGGATTAACGTCTTGCGAAAGGACGTTAGTGCATTGTGATATATACAGTCTGGTGACATTTCTACTAAACCACAACACGTCTCAATAAGCTATGGTGTATCCAAAAAATATCCCATGACAATGGAGAGAAAATTCACGTAGGCCTACGATAGGGACAGATACCGACCACTTTCGAGACAAACACAGTCCACTAGACCCACTAGACCGTCTTTTTCTATCTTTCCTTATATTGTGTCGGTTTAGTGGACTGTTAATCTAGTAGGCTGTCTGACAGTCTACTTTGGATGACTCCCCCCCCCCCCCCCTCCGACAAAGGTGTACATGACTGTGTTAACATTATTTTTGTTTTTGTCTTTTTGTGTTTTATTTTTACAGGTACAGGCTCAATCCACGGGGATGAAGTTGCGAATGGCACCACAAGAAATGTGCGAGAAGGTTGCGAATGATTATGATGGCATGGATGGCGACAGATTTCTTTTTTTCAAAGCACTAAGGAAGCAAATGACTAACCAAAAGCCGTGCGTGACAGACTAGATTAAACGTGAGCAGAAAATTTATTTGTAAAGCGCTTTGAGACATTTTGTATTAAACGCCATATAAAAGTGGATTGTTATTGATATTCTGATGATGATGGCACAAACGAAGTTATGCAAATAGACGATTTTTAAAAATCTTAAGTATTCATGTTCATGGGTAATAAGGGGTTTTATGAAGATTATTGACATCTTGACTGAGTCAAAATTGTTTGCTTTTGAAATGCTTACAAAATTGTGTTTGTCTGATACACATTTTATGTCATAATCGTTCAGCATAAATATGTACTCGTCAGGCCCATTGCACACTATACAACCTCCTGCATGCGATCCGATTTCCGAAAAAATTGCAATTATCATAATATATATGGAATCTAAACAATATGATAAGAATACTAAAACCCCGAGTTGTTGTGAACTTAATACCCTGTACACACAGCTCTGCGACCTTACAAAGACCATGCCGATCATCCCGATCTGAAAAAGTTATCAAATCGGGAAAAAGCCGTCAAAATCCAGCAATTTAGCAACTTAAAGACTATACATCACGACTGTACTGCGATGCTTCTTCGTCAAAAGCACTGCTGACTCGCTGGCATTATACACTCATAACTAGACCAATACCAACCAAGCAGTCGTGTCAACTATACGTTGTTACACAGACCTAGAAGACTATAGGACGATGTCGCTACGCTGGTGCTGACCTTATTACGCTTCTTGTACGATTTGTGGCGATGTTTATACAAATCGGGGGAGTTCTAGTATTCCTTCAGTTTTTTTCCAAACTTCGAAGATGTACAGCTCGAAATAGTTGCCGATGGTGCTGCGTTTTTATTACGACCACAGTGATTTCACCACGATGCTACCAAGCTACTCGTACGATAATGACGTTTCCACTACGTTCTTAATAATACTGTGTCCGGATTTTTGTTGGCCACGCTCTCGGCCATTTTTCCATCGTAGTAGAAGCGGCGTCTATTGTGAACGGGGCATAAGCCTTCTAGTCAGAAAACGTATTTTAAAGGACTTTGCAAAAGGTCTTTTCCTCAGTGTTATTTTTGAATGAATCCATTCATGTTAGAAATAGCGTCGACATTTTGCAAATTATCACTATTCTTTATTTTGAAAATAATGTTTGATGAAATTGGAACAAAACTTTCTGTCTTGTTCTGAGATGATAGTTCAGTATCTTTACATGTTAACGTTCACAGTAAGGCCTTAAATAAAAACTTGTTGTATTGCCCTTTGGGTGCCAAAACATGGGTCGGTCGGTCGGAAAAGTTTTTTTTTGTCGCCCTCTTTGGGCCGATATGTTTCAGTTTTTAGTTTTTATTGCTGTTACTGCTGTTTATTTTTTATTGTTATGGTAGCGGGATGTTGATATAAAGTTATTAGATGTAGTCGTGGAACATAATGAGTATGTTCTTAATTTAGAAGCCTGTCTTTAATATCAAGAGTTCCTATTGATCCGGATTGATTGTAAACTAATGAATGAAGTTTATGAACGACCTAACTTACTGCCGGTATTATAATTGTAGTATTATGTTTCTACACTGTTGCTCATAACGGTGGAATATTTTTTTTAATCCCAATTTATGGAATTATTTTAAAAATAATTTAAAAATACTAGATCTAGATAATAGTATACAGTCTCAGATTTTATTGAATAATAATTTGCCAATATGTGTTTTGCGTGACTGCTAAAGCATGTACATTATGCTACTATGTTTATCAACTAGGGGACCTATGCCCTTAAGTCATAAATGACAGTAATGAGGATTAATGCCTCACAGAAGGGCTCTGATATAGCACATCGACACGGTGTTGATCCTGGGGCCTCAAAGTTACGAGGCCATTGCTTTGTCACTGAACCATGACTGTACGCAGCGGGGGCTAGGGTAGGGGGCAGTTTCCATAAATTAAAAAAAAAAAAAGAAAATGCAATAAATATTCAATAATTTATTGCATTCTACCCCGGTCCCCAACATAAAAAAATCCTCTGGACGGCCATGCATTATGGCTCAAGGCATTTGCACAGTCGGGTAAGGTAGATAGATGGGAAGAATAGGCAAAACTGAAACAATCTAACATGCAATTGTTACATAAACAAAAGTACAAGATATATTTCAAGTGGTAAATAAGAATAGAATACACAAAGAGAAAAGGAAGAAAGGGAAGACAATTCATGATCCTTAAGTATTATGTATTGTATTAGAATCGAGTTTTCATGGATAAAGACGCAATCATTTTCTAATCCTCGGTCGCTTTGCTCCATCGCATATGTTGCTTTAGGATCTCGTGATTTCGGGCCCCAATATAAATAATATCATATATAATTATATAGCCCCTGTAGTTTTAAGCTTTCCGAATGTCTTACAAACATCGGCCATTGATCTCCTACCAGCTGTTTCGCCGAACAACTGCCAACTATTCGCCAAAAATTCCACGAGCGGTTGCAAATTAGTTCACCAAAATCTTTGATGATCAGACAATTTCTGTATTAGATTCGGCAACCGATCGGCAACTGCCCGATACTTTCCTCTTATTATGTTTTTTAATTATGTATTTCATTTGTTTATCTGTTTGTTCGTTTCGGCGACGATTTGAAACTCATTTTATAGAATATTTATTTGACATCTCCTTACTTATACATTGATGATAATATCAAATTGCAATATAGAGTACTTTGTATACTTAGTGAATTTTTAGTAATTCCTTTTGCAACATAATTTTTATATTTCGATTCTTTGTTTGTATGCACTATTATTGAAGAAAACCAGAAATTTTGGATTCTAATGCAATAAATTTGGTTTGATATGATTCGATTTAATAGGAAATAAAAATTAATGTGAACCTGAATTTCACTTGTTTGTTCTGTTGATATCATCCGAGAGAAAATCTATTCTGAAGCGTTCTTTCTTTTTTAGAAGCACCAGAGAGAAAGTCTTGGGCAACAATAATTATACCGTTATTGTAATAACCTGCGACATGTATTAGCAGGATCAAGGGGGCATTTTTCAATGTGGCACGAGTAGCACTTGATCATGAAGGGGGCATAAAGAGGTAGGCATCAAAACGGGGGGGGGGGGGGGGGGGGGGGGAGAGAGAAAAAGAAAGTGAGGGAAAGGAAAGTGAAGGCAAAGAAAACGAGAAATAGAAACTTCTTACACGTCAAGATTTTTTAAACAGTTTGTTCAGTGTTGAGCCGCCAGTGTACTATAGAGCATATAAAATATATCTTTTATTGCTAATGCCACCTCACTCTACCCCCCCCCCCCTTTCCCTCTCTATCACTCTCTCCTTCTCTCTCTCCTTCCTTCTCTCTCTCTCTCTCTCTCTCTCTCTCTCTCTCTCAAACTATACTAAACAATTTCAGTCTATAACAATACATAGTATCTGACCAATGGACTGTAAAACTTGATTCTGTCTAACCAGTGTAGGTGTCATTTTATTTTGCCAAAAAATATACCAATAATAACCACAGAACAAGAAAATATAACAAATAAAAAGCAACTAATACATGCATACCAATCTTCAAATAATTCAAACTGAACCATTGTGAAACAAAGCAATCGAAAAGAGATTTGAGCACAAAAAATTAAAAGAAGCGAGCTACATTTCTAATAGCTCTTCACAATATACATGTAGTACTTTTTAATAGTTCAAAATTTCAAAAAAGTTTAAAATATAAGACCTTGAGAGGATGGGGTCAAATGCAGGTTAATCATACATGAACATAAAATTTAACACATTTTCTGAACAAACATGCCGAGGTGAAGATCTCAGTATCGCTCTTTGCACATGTTTCTCAAGTCAGTACTGCTATTAGATAAGTCTTAAATTCCATAATGTCTAATAAAGCAAAAAATTGTTCTTAACAATTGTAAAGCATAATTGGGTGACAAAAAGCAAAACAATCTCAAACAGGGTGCTCCATCATGTGACTATACAACCAGCAGCAAATTGAGGATGGAGATGAAGATATATAGAGGATGAATATTTACATATACTCAAAACCTGCAACACACTCTCTTAGTTTTAAAATTGGACTTACTCTGGACCTGTATGTGTCATATACATGCAAGATTTAGGAGATTCTAAGTGATAGGATTGAACAAATTGTTGAAGCTTTTATATCTTCATTATATACTCAACATTTCATTGTACTTTTTACAATGTGCACAATAATTCATACCATAAAAACACAAAGGTAAAATCACAAATGTAATCAAAATTACAACATAATAATATTACAATATCTCTGGAATGAAAATCATAAAGTGTACATGTAAATAAAAATCTAAATTTGCTACATTTGTTCTTGTTTTAAGACATGTTTATAAACACTGTAATTATAGTCATATTTCAATTTCAGTCTGCATGAATTCTTCTTTGCAGTTGTATTGCTAACTACATAGACAGATAACAACATAGACAAACCATAAAAACATGTATAATTCATGTTGCCCACATGACATACACTAATCTCTCTTTAAAAAAAAGTTCTACATGTGAAGATTAATGTACATGTATCACTTTACTTTTCTTACCAATACACATACTTCATCATAAAATAATTACATCCCCCCCTCTCTCTCTCTCTGTCTCTCTCTCTCTTACACACACACAAAAACAGATCCTTAAAAATATTGTCCATTCACTGAGCCAGAAGGGCATTAACTCTTTCACATACACAAGTTAATGCCCTTCTGGCTCTCAGCAGACGATACACTGAGAGATTGTTTGCTTTTCAACAAAAACAATATGAATTATAATAATTCCTTGTTACCTTGACCTTTCAATTAACAATAAACAACATAATTATTAAAAAAAAATGCACACAGTTAAAATTTACTTTGTGCGCTCTATAATGATTGACAAAATGCAATGGATTCATGAGTACTCACATCATACCAGTCATCCAGACTAAGTATTGTTTCTGGAGGTTCAGATTCATGTTATGTGTGTGTATGTGTGTGGGGGGGGGGGTCTGCATGCTAAACAGGCATGTCTTAAGATTTGTTACATTATGCCTACATACATGTACTCTTTGTAATACATCATGCACAAAGACATGTTTGCAAGATGGTATTATCATAACATACAATATACCAGTTGAATATACTCACAATCTGTGTATGGGCAAATAAAGCTTTCAGCTAACTGCAAAGTACCATAGTACAACACTATGTATTCAATTTGAATATATCCGAACTGATCTATTAATACCTGTCAACAAAATAATCTGTGCAGTTCTTTCACAAGGCAAATCTTCCAATTGTTCAATTCGGCTCTATTTGATACCTTAAGCACAGAAAAAGGTAATATGAATTATACGACAGGAATAGTGAGCTAGTTCATTCTGGAGATTTCCAACGCTCAAAAAAAAAAAAAAACATTTGCCCATAAGACCCATGATCAGACATAACTCTTTTTCTAGAAAGAAGTATTTACATAAGAAGATTTCATATACTAGCTTGTATAATGTATAATGATGCAATTTCAAATAAAATGAGGGCTTGTGGCACTCTTTCATAGATTTCTTGCACTCATCACCTGATATCCAAGTTATCAATAAACATGATTGATATTTAATTCATCAATTAAAGCAGATAAAAAAAAAGCAAAATACTTAGTACTAATCTTTTGTAACATTTTAAATCCATTCATTATTGGTACATTTTTTTTTTCTTCGACGTCAACCGGGACCAGAAAATATAATCCTATGTGATCAATCTAATTTATGATGATAAAGTTTGATATTAATAACTGAATATCGATATTGACTATATTTTCGACTTGATGAATTTAAAGCAACCTCAGCAAACAATATGATTTTCATATAAAAGCAAATGGTTTTTACCAGTCCTGAAATGTGCAATACCCTATGTTGTCATTCATCAGGCTGAATCCTAATTCTGGTATGAAAAACATAGAATTTCCATCCACTTTGTCGGCTAAATCGGCCGACTGCCATGAAAACAATATATCAAGAGTAAACAATTAAAATTGCACCAACATATTCAAAATTACTTATCAAACTCTGACTTGTGTGTTTCAAAGTAAATCATCAGAAAACAGGAGGATTTGGTGATTTTGGTCATTGTTTCATGCTCATATTTAGTCCATGCAATTTTGAAACCTTTGGTGATGTTTAACAGGACACTTTTCTTCTCACATTTCCACTTGATATATTTCTGCAACTAAACTACATTTACAAAACCCTTTTAATTGGCCCCTATCCAAAGCCACAACCATGCATTTTCAAACACAGGAATATAAATTCACCTAATGAAGACAAAATGCAGTGCCTGTGCTGTTTTGCAGTATAAGTAGTGAATGCACCAACTTGAAATAAATAAATAAGTTAATGATGTATGTATAATGTGCCGAAACTTAATAACAGTGCTCATATGAATAAACAATGACCCTATATCACACATTGACCAAAGAGTTCTTGTTTTTCCTTTTCACACCAAATGCATAATGAGGGCCATAGTTTAGGCCATTAATATAAATGCAAATATGACATTTAGATTGCAAATTATCTAAAAAAATGACAATTAAGTAGTGGAAATAAAAGTAGAATAAAGCCGTGTGTGAAAGGTTGACAAATGTCTAGGAAGCCTAGAATTGGTGTAAAAGGAAGAAGAAAAAAAAAAGTTGGATCGGTGAATAAACTTCCTCATGAACTGCAGTTCATTATCCACAGAGGATATACATGTATGTGGATAACCATGAACTTTTAGCTACACAATGATACCTCTACACGACACAAGGTTCATGCAGAGCGATCTGATGAGACAAATCAGACCCAGAGCTTTGGACACAAAGAGGAAAAGGAACAGATTTTGTTCATACAATATCTTGACAAAGGCTACAAGAACCAGCACATTTTGTATAGCCCAGACGAAAGCAAATTCACTTACTCGTTAAAATAATACTTATTTTTCATCTGTATCTACCGTTTGTTACCTTTATATTTCTGCATTACATTGTACTTTGTTTTGTGACAGTCATAAAAGTAGACATCGATCTTTCACATCATATCATCATGTATATCAAAATAGACTTGGCTAGTACAGTATCACTCTGAGATAAACAAACACATTGTTCACATATACATAGACACCATCTGTGCACTATGGGTAACCAAAATGGACGCATCCAGCCTCCCTTGCTTTGTCAAGATGGCGATGAGAGGAAGGAGTCTGCTTAACCTTGGTCGCTAGCCGCTTAGTACAGACGCTTTTCAAACCTGTAAGTAATAAGAGAAGAATGTAGCATGAAGATTAGGACCAGGGGGGTATTTCACCAAATTTTTCATTAGTGACAAATGACAGTTTTTGTTATAAGCTACTGAAATCCTTACTTCTGATTGGTTATCAACAGATTTGTCACTGATTTTTGTCATTTGTCGTTGGAAAAAGGCTTTGTGAAACGGGTCCCAGATATCAAAATGTTGTTTATTAGAACTATGTTACACCATTGTTCCCATAAATATTAAAAACAGACAGGACAGTCTATCAGTGAAAAGATAAAGCATTAAAAGGAAGAAGAAAAAAACTCTGAAAAAATATACAGAACACATAATTGATAACAAGTCCATAGCTTCCTCAAATCATTTAATTTTGATTCCTGAACTTTTCAAAGAAAATATAAAGTTACACAGTATATGCATCCTGTTTGATATTTCACTGAAGTATTCGTATGGAAGTTGCAAATAACCTAGCCGTAAAAAGAAATCAGAGACAACTTACGAGTGAAGACTGTGAACACCGCCCTCTACTTGAGCTGAAGGTGACCTTCTCTCAAAGCGAACTTCGCCAGAATACATCTTTTCTCTGGGAGAGGTTGGATGATAGGAGATAAAGAGTAAATATCTGATCACATGGGTTGTCTCTCCCTTATCGATCTCAAGAATAATGATTTCACAGAGATAGAGAGAGCTAATAAATGTTCTCTACACTTCCTTTGGTACTGTACACATGGGTGAACAGAGACAAAATTACAATTTTTGTAAACATAACTCCCCCCCCCCCCCTAACTCTGGATTAACGGCATCGTGTGATCATGTGATATGGTGTAATATTGAAGCCCTACAAAAGTTGCGCTTCAAAATGATCAAGAAGTGCCTCAAAAAAGTAAAAAAATCTTTTGAGTGACTGGTTTTACCATACTCGTTTTCCCCAATAGACTGTATTGTTATGAAAACCGTGAGAAAATCACAATCATAAATATCTTGATATTCAGACATGCGATCAGCTTGTAAAAGTCATGGGGTTCCTGACTGACCTAAAGGTTTATAATTATCATTGCAGCATGAGCTAAATCCAGGATTATGTTTCACCCAATCCCTTAAGGCAGATGTTTTCAACCCACTGACTACTGAATTCCCTGATTTCCATAGGAGCTAACACGATCCCCAAGGTAATTGGTTAATTTTATACTTCAAGATAAATAGCTTAACAAATTGTGAACCGTTTGTTGCCATACAAATGATTAAATGAAATCTTTATTAAACTGACAGATGTTTTGTGTATGATCTGTTTACTGCTCTTACCTTAGAACGGTGAGGCTTAGTGCTCCAATGTCTTGGCAGCCATGTTGGATTCCTGCAATGAGATATGGCACAAACTTGTGGATAGAACCCTTGTCCACGATGGACCCTGAAACACCCTGGGCAACCTTCAGCTTGTCACGCTCACTGAAACAAAGAACACAGAATTAATCATAATAATCCGTTCTTGGATAGCCCATAATACATTATGCTATAACGTCCCTATGCTTTGGAAATTATTACCCTAGCTATAGCTCCGGCAGCTCTTTGAAGCACACAGTGCATTTCCAGGAATAATCCTACAAGGCATCCATTTACCTCACCTAATTGGAGTGTGGCAAATGTAGATAACGTCTTGTTAGTGTTGTGGCAGGGATTCGAACCCTGAACCCTGTGGCTCACAGTCCGTAGACTTGACAACTGGACCATAACACCTCTACATTAATTAACAATGACATTTTTAAAAAGAATATGACAAATATCAATCACTGAATCCCATATCAACTAAGAAGACAAAATGATATTAATTTCCATTGCATTTTAAAGAAAAGAAGAAGAATTTGGCTTCAATTTTGTCCTAAGATACCATGATTCAAACTCAAACAATATCATATTCAGCATTCCAACCATACAAAAATGTTTTCAAGAGATCAAGCTATTTTCCATCTTCACATTCTTCTTTCATAGACAGGGATACCAGTTCCTTTCATCTAATGAGCTCATATGTGACCCGGCACCACAAAACCAACAAAAAGTCGCAAAAAAATATTTTCCTGATTTCATCTGATTATGAAAGAAGAAGTTCTCCTCATTAAAATGGTATATTACTTGTCCAAATTGAAGCTTCCTAACCCTTTCAATTTAGTGAATGAAAAGAGCTGGTGAGGGAGGTTACTGGTATTAAATTGTGAGAAAGAGAGCTTTAAAGTTTGGGGCTATTCAAGCATTCGGAGCAAGCAAACCACAGGGAAATCAATAGAAGGGTGAATCAAAAGGCCATAGCAACCACTATGAAGAGATTTTCAGATTAGGCTGAAATTTGGCCTGCTGGTCAAACATAGTCTGTTCATTATGTTTCTGAGGTTTCAATGTGTGGACTTAAGTCTTTCAAAAGTTATTATGTTGTAAATGTATAGAGTTGTAATTGGACAGATTAAGTGAACTGCAACATAGTGCCGAGACACCTGCACTAGACAATGCCTATTCATGGTGGACCCGGAGTCTTTTTGTTCCCCCTTACATAACACTGCTTGTCACCTATCTTGTTTTGTATACATCTGGGCAATTATTTGTAACCACATTATGAACTTGCTTGATACTTAATTCCCATACTGTTTTCTTTCTCACAGGAGGTTCAAAGTATTTTTACTATGACTTGCTCTTTCATTTCCAGTAGCCATCCTGATGATAATTAATGGAAGCAATTCATAAATACCAGCCAGAAAGTGGTATAAAAATAAAGAAAGGCAGGAGACACAGTAAAGACACCAAGATAGAATAACGAAAAATAGAAAGAATGAGAGAGAGACAGAGAGGGAAAAGAAGGGGGAGAATTATGACAGCTGTAAGCAAAATGATGATATCAAGAGTGTGAATGTGTGTTTACAATAAGAACTTGATTTCAAAACTCTTATGGGAGAATAAATTTGGAAGCACAGAAATGAAAACAAAATTATTTAGGGAATGTCACAACTCTTTCTCATCCTGTATCACAAGTTTAAAAATGCAACAACTCTCTCTCATCCATTATCGCAAGTTTGAAAATGCAACAACTCTTTCTCATCCTGTATCACAAGTTTAAAATGCAACAACTCTTTCTCATCCTTTATCACAAGTTTAAAAATGCAACAACTCTTTCTCATCCTTTATCACAAGTTTGAAAATGCAACAACTCTTTCTCATTCTTTATAACAAGTTTGAAAATGCAACAACTCTTTCTCATCCTGTATCACAAGTTTAAAATGCATCAACTCTTTCTTATCCTTTATCACAAGTTTAAAAATGCAACAACTCTTTCTCATCCTGTATCACAAGTTTAAAATGCAACAACTCTTTCTCATCCTTTATCACAAGTTTGAAAATGCAACAACTCAAGCTACTCGAAGTCTTTAACGGAGAATATAAGACGAACGCAAATCTGGAACTCGGATGTGAAAGCGGATACAAACAAAATGGCGCGCCGCACTGATTGCTATAACGGACCAATCACAGCCCGCGTAGCACGACCCGTTAGCAACGACCGACCATTTCCGGACTGCGATAATTTCGCTCGGGAAAAGTGATCAAATTTTGGAAGAGACCGAAGGCTGTGCGAAAAAAACTGGTCTAGAAAAACCGTTTAAAACACATCTTCTACTATGTTTTAGACTTCCAAATTTTGATACTAGGTACAGAAAAGACCACTCTTTCAGAAAATGCAAAAAACCAAAAATCTATTTTTTCACCTAAATTGACATTTTAGCTGATTACGGAGAATCGCTGGTTGCGACTTTTTGTTGGTTTTGTGGTGCCGGGTCACATATGTACCGAACAATATAAAGCCGGATTATGGGTAGGTATCAGGGCCTAAAATCGGACTACAGCCTAAAGAGGGGCATCCTTTTTTAGAGTTTCGAAGGCGAACTGCCCTAATGCCTCAGTCACACCTTTGCATATTTGGCTTGCATATTGCTGCGTATTTATGGTAAGCCGTTTTAACATTTATTCCTATTTCTTGATATCAAGAATTACCATTGCTTTACAACAGAAAATCTCCTTGATATCAAGAAATAGGAATAAATGTTAAAACGGCTTGCCATAAATACGAAGCAATACGCAAGCCAAATACCCAAAGGTGTGGCTGAGGCAAAAGCTCACATCTCCTTTTTATTTTGTTGCCTACCTGAAGTATCTCTTGGCAGAGGACTGGTTCTTCTCCATGGCATCCAACGATCCCATGCCACGGTACTTCTTGAGTCGGACTCCATCAGAGAAGAAGTATTCTCCAGGAGCTTCAGTGGTTCCCGCCAGAAGGCTTCCCATCATCACTGAATAACACAAAGTGGACAAAGGATTCAGGTAATTAGCCAAATGGAGAGAAGAAGAAGAAGAAGCAAATGGCATAAGAGGATCCCATTCTACTGTACTTTGAGTTAGACCCTATCAGAAAAGAAGAATTCTCCAGGAAAAGTCAATTCCCTGGTTGCTTTATACATGTAGTTACACTAGCATACACATGGTTTCTTAGCAGTCAGGTAAAACAGTTATTGAACATCTTTCACACAATTACTACAAAATCTATGACTCTTGTTGCAGTACAATGCTGATCCACACCAAATTTCATGAAAAATGATTTAAAAGCAATACACTACCTACAATCTTATTCAGTAAATGAAAAAGAGATAAATTCTGTAAAAACACTCACCTGAGGAAGCGCCCAGTGAAAGAGCCTTTGTGATGTGACCGACCGTCGTGATGCCTCCGTCGGCAATGATAGGTACCCCACAGCTCCTGGCATACTGGGCTACTCTGTACACTGCTGTGCCTTGGGGACGACCAACAGCCATTACTGGAAAGCAGAACAAAAACAATAAAATAACTGATTTAGTTGATAATTCATCATCCTGCCAAGTAAAAAAAAAAAAAGAGTTCTTCTACTGCTTTGCCTGCTGAGAACTACACGGGCATCGACTAGCAGCCCTTCTCACTCACTCTCAGCAGGCAATCTTTATGTTTATTATAAGTACAGGTATCTACATTGTAAGTACACAATATATATATACACACATGCCAACATTTACTTTACTGCAACAAAAAAGCAATTAACAAAAAAAACGAAAACAAGTCATAGTGCAAAAGGTTTTTAAACCATAAAAGGACTGATACACTGTCCAAAAAAATAAATAATTAATTTTTAAAATAAATAAACAAAAATATCGGTTGGGCCATATTGTACACAGACATACATTTTGATTACCGGTATTCAAATGTATCTTAAGGATCGTAATCTCTTTCGGTTTTACTGAGTGCAAAGAAGACATAAAAGTTGCAGCACATATACAAGAACCATGCATATTCATTAGCAATAGCATGCAACGAAAGTAAGATAATAATGGTGCTGCCAAAATATGATTACTTTCCATAACAACATATAAAGAACAAAAAAGTAAATTTCAGGAAAAGTTTGGATGAATGAACAAAATGTGGAACATGCGCATTTAGAATTTATCAGAAACATGTTAAAAAAAAAGAAATAATGATAACAACTTCAATATAAACGTTAATTTCACTGTTATCTTCTTAATCTTATTGTGAAATTCACAGACGCAACTCATAAACAAGGAATGAATGTAAATAAATAAAAATACCTCACTTCTAAACAATACTATTGCTACTAAAAATAAAAGTACATACATTTAAAAATTTCTTTCACTGTTTTATAAATATACTTCCCTAAACACTCTGTTTATTCTCTTTCTCACTCTTTCACTCTCTCCTACATGACCCTTCATAAAATCAATACAAGTTCACAATCATTTTTGTTCTTGCTGTTGGTAGAGAACGATTTGCTTTGTTTGCATTACCGTATTCAAAGAAAAGACATCTACTAAACACTTCTCTAAAATAAGTAAAATAGAAAAAAATAAGTAGAAAAGAATAATATACACAAAATAACAGATTCATGCACATTGCAAAAGGCATTATGATCAGAACAAAAAATGAATGTACATGTACATGTACACGAAAAAATCTACTTTCAAAACTAAAGGACTGAAACACATCTTGGAGTTGAAGAACTACAAATTATATGACTTTTTTTTAAACAATAATTTCCACCACTTTATCACATGTAGCCTAGCCATAAAAGTGCAGTAAGAAAAGAGCCAGATGGAATTTTTGTTTAAAGCCAAAGGATAGCCATACACTTGCCGGTTCAGACAATGATGAAAATGTAAAGCCATGCAACTCATAGGTAATGGTACAAAGGTACAAATCTCCAAGACCGTAGCATGCGCATGGTCGTGTGATTTTTTAAGCATGTGAAAAATTGATTGTCCCCATTTATGTTTTGTTTAAGAATGTCACACATTATAGATTACATCTAATAAGTATTTAACACAGGCCCTAATTGAACCATAACATCAAATTCACAAGGGGTATGAATAATTTAGTTGTAACTGAATATACGCTTTTTTTTGGTCCACTGTTGAGGTTTTGGAACAATGGTTAAAAGTTCACAGACCATGATTTGAATTTAAACCTCCATCAAAGATCCAGGCCTTTATGATCAATATGGATAATTTCCAATGTAAAAAGCTGGAAACCCAGTCATTATTAAAGGTATGGGCTCATGATTAAAATAAGGTTGGCATACATGTATGTACAAAGTGGTGTGTGACTAGTAACTAAGAAATCATGCACAACTTCTTTATATACATGATATGCATGAATGACATTCAACAAATTCATGACATAAATTTTACATTTATGCAGTGAACAAGCTCCAATTGGTATGTGGCAAGTCTACATGTATACAGACATGTATCTACTTATGGACTGGAGCAATGCTTTGATTATCTACACATTGCACAACTCTTCCTGATGCTAAATGACCCTTGAATCCCCCCCCCCCCCCTCCCAGACCCCTTTTCATCATGTAACATCTCTTCTTACTTCTTTATTTCTTTTTCTGACCTACACCTAATGTCGTTGAGGTTAACTTACATCTCAAGGTGATTCTTTTATAAACAATAATTATTTACCTCCAAAATTGTGAATACTTTATTTTCAATGTATCCTGAACTCGAGTACAGGAGATGACTACACAATATGCTTAATAGTAACTGTTACAGCTCCTGAAACAACCTAATAACACATACTGCTTTGTAATCAACCTTTTGTTTAAATTGTAAGTCTCTGTTTAAATCACCCACAATTGTGATGAAATATGTTTCTCTGCTATTCTGCTGCTACATGAAACACCAAGAAAATTTGACCAACCAGATTGTAAAATACGTCAGATATAAGCACTTAAAACTCCCTCCTTCCTAGGCTGTGAGCTTTGTATTTAATTAATGCAAGGATCAGGATTTCCAAGGGTCACAGCATCAGGTCAAAAAGTTGTGCAATTGACCTCTAACCAGTGAGAATACAGTGTTTCAACCAAATGAACAGTTTTGGAACTTTGTTCAAAGAGCTATCAACTAATTTGTTATGTAATTGTATTTTTTTAACACAAGCGAAAACGCTTTACAGGCCTGCAATACAACTAAATGAGTCAAACTCTCCTACATATAAGTGTTTAAGGAGGCAACCTTCCAAGCATGGTGCTTTTTTAACTAATTTATTTCAAAATATATTCTAATTTGAGCAAGCAGCTTTTCAAGATAGCATTAAATTTTGTTCAAGTTTGGCATATTTTTTTCATTTTCTTAGATGAATTGCGGATCAAACCGTAATCACAATGAATATCATCTGCCAAGAGCCATAGGGGTTTTTAATCATTGCATTTTACCTTAGAAACACCCTTCTGCTCTCAGCATATATGAGATACATGTACAGCCTTACACACAGAATTTTCAGATAGAAATCCATATTTTTCACAGTTGGTGCATATTTTGAAAGGATTTACCATGAACAAACTTTGTGGTAGGTTTTGAATGACATCAGTGCTGAAAAAAGGAGCCTGAAAGAGGGATTTGCTTGCTTTGAATATGCTGTACACATACATTTTTCACATTAATATTTTACAAATTCTTCTAAAGTCTTGCTCAGATAAGCAGTGGTAAACCACTGCAGTTTCTCTTTTAATTATGATGAAAATTGCAATAGGCTTCACATTTCCAACACTGAGCTATCTAAGTGAATACGCGTAGCACTTTTCTTTTGCACCCTTGACATTCATTTACATATCTTTTTTAATGCAGCATTTGTTCCAAAACTGTGCATTTGGCTTGGATTGCAGCACTGTCCATGACATAGCATGTATAAACAGAAAAAGCGAGAGGGTGTTTCAACAACTACGGTGTAGCGGAGGCAACAGACTTACAGGTAGACGTTAAGTCACCCTCCGGCCTACAGGGCCTACTACTAGGAGCTCGTGCTGCCCGTGCTGATCACGCAACGAAGAATTCCGTGACAGATTTGTTTAAGATTGTGTTAGCGTAAAAGACGTTCGGTTAAAAGAGGAAGAAATTGATTGAAGAAAGGATTAGGGGAAAATATTAGGGAGTTATGAAAAGAAGGGTTAGTCAACATTGAATCAACACAATGTCATTAATCTATTAAACATGAATGTTTTAGTCGGTAGAAGTTAGTGAAGGAATCAATCTAAAACTGTCAATGGTATGACTAGTAGGACAGGTTCTGATGTATTCTTGCACTACAACATGTAAAGAAATAAAAAGGACTATGTCTCTACCTCTAAGTTTGTTGCCTTTGGCAGAAAGCACTTTAATTTGATATTCAATGCAGCTTGCATCCATATTAATATATTAAGACAAAAATGATCCATGCAATAAAAAAGGAAGATTCTTTCACTTTGAAATGAAAAATGAGATGAAAATTACTGTTTATTCTAAGAAAATTTCATTCCAAAAAAGGTCTTCCAAGTTTCAAAGACATTTAAAAAATGAGGAATGTAACATGAAGACTATGCTACATTTGTATTCATCTACATGTTATTACTACATGTGCTTGATCAAATAAATGTTCATAGGGTGACTTGACACCTGACATTTGCTCCAGCAGCAATTGCCCCCAAGGCTTATTTCATCTTAGATGCAGGGTGAGGGTTGCAATCGGATTTTAGGTTCGGACTAGAATAAGCGTTTGGTCTAGGGTTAAAGTATTAGTGAGGATAAAGGTTGCGGAGCATTCGTTGCTGGAGCATGTGCCATAGAACTGTACGTATTGTTAAAATGAAGGACAAGATTACAATTTCAATGATTTTCAACCTCTACGACGTGCAACCTCCTGTTGTACACCCGTTTCACACCCTTTCATCCTGAAATCCTTCAACAGCGGAACATATTCTCAAACACTTATCTGACTGGAGTTCATTACTAGGCTCTCTCACTTTTAGTTTTACAAAAGCAAAATACGCTTGGACAAGCAACATCCCATGATCAAAATGCCCATTGTATCTAAAGTATCTATAAATGTCATCATCATCATTTATTGAAGTCAGCCTTTTTCCTCTTATGAGGAGTTACTGATTTTGTTACCATGATGACACTCCCTCCCTCCACTTCTTCTCGTCTCAAGGATTCCCTTATTGGCCCAACTTATTTAGACCAACCTTACTGCTTTCTTTCTGTCTTCCTTTCCCTCTTCTGCCATCCAGTTCAACACTATGCTAAAAGTCATATACATCATGCTCTATACTATATTTACTTAAAAGAAATAGTCGTTTGCTGTGAATCTACAAGGACTATGAAAACTATGAGAATAATTATGTTCAAATGACTTTGAAAAGTAGAATCACCTCTAAATAAACATAACTATCCTGCAGAAATATCTCAAATCGAAAGCCTAAACGGCCCACGTGACTGACGAAGCAATGAATTATAAGAGCAAAGATAGACAAAATATGAAAATAGCAAAGTTAGTGAAATACACCACAAATTAAATATGGATAGCGAAGAGGATAGAAATGGATCAGCAAAGAAAGGGTCTTGAGGGCAGTAGCCGGAAATACGGGTTTTCCCTTCCACTACAGCCTAATCCTATGGGTACTTGCAATTATTTGCCTCCTATTTGTCTTGGATCCCCCCCAGTTGCACCCTAAATAATTAGCAAAGCATTAACCCTTACAACATTAATTATTTGACCACCTGCTTTAAATAGACCATACAATACCAACATAGGAGTTCTATGTCAGCTGAGTTGTAGCATCACCAGGAAAAGAAAGGTAATGTGGAGGTTTTGTATGAAAGAATGCAATTCTTTTGTGAGCATGTGCTGAGCTGGGGGAAGTTACACACCACTGTCTCTTGTTAGCTCACTACTGATTGACAGATGTCACAAGAATGAATAGGGTGGAGCTTAGAAGGTCTGAGAAAATTATCTTTAAAAATATTTAAAAATTATCAAATATATTTAGATGTTTGAATAACAAAATGGGAGTTGTATGCATCCCTGCACATCAACAGGAATCAACTTATATTTGGATGCCACTGACCCTTAATAACCTGGTTGCCACTGGGTCAGCCATAAACACTGTGACCTGGATTCCTGCCTGTTTACCAAGTTGTTGTAAATTTCACAGTAGTCTAAAATTCATTTGCTGTAAAGTTCATTGTGTTTGAAAGTAAATTTCACTGTTTGATTGACAGGTGGAATGAGGAAAGATGCCTTGCTTGTCGATTCCTTGTTCATTTTATTAATTAAAGTTCCTTGCTAGTATGTTACATCCTGTGCCCATGCTATTGTAGATTTCATGATTCCTTGGCCAGAGCAGCTATTCAAATGAGTGCACAGTTCAATCCTTAAAACTTCAGCTTCTTTCTCTCTCTCTCCCATTTATTTGATTCTCTATTATTCTGTCCCTCTTTATCTCTACCTTTCTTCCCATCTCTCTTTCTCTCACTTTTCTCCCCCCCCCCCCCCCTTCCTCTGTCTTTCCCTCCTCTCCCCACTCGCTGACAAATTCTCTATTTCTCTTTCACTACCTTACTCTCTCTCTCTCTCTCTCTCACTACCTCTCCCACTATCTTTCTCTCTCTCTCACTACCTTACTCTCTCTCTCTCTCTCTTCCTCTCACTACCTTTTTCTCTCTCTCTCTCTCTCTCTCTCTCACTCTCTCGTTCCTTACCTTCTTGTGTGATGCAGATTGAGCCGCTGCCCATGCCGACCCTCAGAGCATCGGCACCTGCCTGGATCAGATTCTTGGCTTGAGCCACGGTCACCACTAAAATCAAACAAATATAAATAACCCTTGGTCAAATTGTTAAGCATGTGCTATATCATTGGAAACCAAAGAATTATAATAGAATATATGCAGTGTCAGAAGGATGATAATTCATGTCATTTCATACATTTAGAACTTTGTTCTGGCTCTAAGCAGACAAAAAGTAATAGTTGTTGTAAATGTTCACTTTCATGAAAAATGAAATCTCTCCCTTACATCTATACTCTATTATATACCTCATACATAGATTGTCGTTCACTGATTGGTCAAAACTATATCACATGTCAAGGAGCATTTCGATCTATCAAGTATAATTACGTCAGAGGGTTTGATAGCTACTATCAAGCCCCGGGATAGGACCCCTAACCCCTCCCGCGACTTAGTTGCGCGCACAAATTTTGTGGGTTGCTAGGCTACCGCAATCGCGCGGTTACGCGCAGCGCGTAGGAATTTAATACTCTTGCCTTGGACTTGATGTTGGATTTTTCTTATTCTGGTGAGTAATTCCTCTTGATCTAGTTTCCTGTTTTTTAGTGCTAGATCTAGACCTACAGCTAGAGCTAATCATGAATCAATAAAAAGGATGAGGTATATAAAACAAATATGGACTGCTCTGTAATCGGATGATGGTGGGAACTACCCCTCCCTCGGTGATGTTCACACCGGCCCTTCTATCACCCCCTCGGCTTCGCCTCGGGGTGATAGAAGGACCGGTGTGAACACCACCTTGGGAGTGATAGTTCCCACCATCATCCTCATGAGCAGTCAATATTTGTATACTATGAAATCATAAAATTTGCCGTTACCAAAGGTTATCACAGGTCCCTTTCTTGCCTCCAATCCCTAGTTTCTTCAGGTTTAAATTTGTTGCAAGAAATAAAAATCAAAGGCTCATAATCCTAATCAAAATAACTGAACCAGCATTGAATCAAATGTCTCTGTATACAGACCCCCATTTTGTGCGTCCTTGAATGGTATGCAGGCGCGTACGCAGGGGGGGGGGGGGGAGGAGGGTTTAACCTCAAACCCCCCCCCCTTGAGTTTTTTTTATGTGTATGATTTCCAGGAAACCCCCCCCCCCCCCCCCCCCTTTTTGACATATTTTAAAGATAAAGTTGAGTTCTGGTCATGCGATTGCATCGTAAAAAGAAACGGTTTGGAATCCATCAGAAAAAGTTGGTCATGGAGCATACAAGTATTGGTGTGTACTGCAAGGTTCTGGAGTCGTAAAATGAAATGAAATTTGGCCAAGTCTTGGTAAGTAACGACCACTGTACACAGAAAAATGTATATGGGACTACACAACCATGTGGCATAAAATCGAGCCTCATCTTTAAGCCGTTACTTCTCAAATTTAGAATATAAAGGCATTGAATAGCCATTTTTTTCAGGGAAAATTGTTCTCTGATGTTCTTCCACACTCACAAATTATGTTTCCCCTCTCCCCAGAACTCAACCTTCTCTTTTATTACTGTTTGCTTTCTTGATAGCATTCAGTCCATCACTCACCATTGCCAGCCACCACCTGCAACTCTGGATATTTGGCCTTGGTGCACTTGATCATGCTTACTTGGAAGCTGGAGTTCCCTTGTGAAGAATCCTGCAAATAGAGTAATTAAAAATTCATTGGGGCCATCGTATAGTCTTGGTAACATGTGGATATATAACAAGTGAAACAGATATCATGAAAGTTGGATATTCTCAATTTTTTATGTGATTGACAAGTTTAACATTTAGCTTAATGAATATCTTGTAGAGCTGGAATTATCTTTTGGCCATCTGTTGGAGATGGATTTAAGGATTTCTTTTGTGATCATTATGTTTTTGTTTTTCTTTGTTTGGGGGGGGGGGGTCTCTAAGTTGGATTGTTAAGGAGTACACTTACAAATAGGGATTAGTCTAATAGTCTATGTAACATTTTTTTTTAAAGTTGGTTAAAACAATGAAGTTCTTCATCATGTTATGAAGCAACAAACAAACAATGGAGGTCTCAGTTTGTCTGGTTAATACAGGAGTGACAATTTTTATCTTTTTATGACCAATTTGCATAATATTGTTAATTCAATTGCTAACATTGAATGCATCCTAAATTGTACATATACAGATATGCAGATACAAATACAGATACAAATATAAACCTACAGTACATCAGCATTAAAGTTAAATCTATGTAGCCCTTGTTGCAATATTTTTATTATTCTTGCAGATTTTTATTTCTGCCAACTGCAAGCATAGATAAATAGCCCCAGTATTATTGCAAATAAAGGTCTGAATAATGTTACATCTACATAGTATATGCTATATTTGTAATAAACTACATATTAAGCTAAATGTTACCATCCTCTTCTAAATCAACGTAGATACAGTGTATCATGCAGGAGTAAACATTACAAAACAATACACATGCTAAAGTGTTCATTTTAATTTTTAATCCAAAAAATGAAACTACTCCTAGTGAAAGTTAAAAAACCACCTAAAAAGGATAAAAGGAATTTTATAATCTCAACTAGAAAGGAATAGTAAAAGGGCAATTATAAAATTAACCTACAGCTTCAAACAAAATGAGTGAAAAATAAGTCAATATAGTTCTTATAAGCATATACACTGCACTATGTGACATATACATTGTATTATATCTCTACTCTACTCATTGATGTGCTCAAGTTCTTCTTCTTTTCCCCCAAAAATGCAAGTTACAGGTCTTCAAAATATTTGAATTCTGGCAGTCAGCTCTTCCATGTCTGTGCTTCCTTGCTTTGCAAGCTTAACAATCATTCCGACTAGACTGCTCATTAATGTCACAACTCTTGAATGAAGTTCTCAGTAACATGCATAGCTGCTCCAGATTAGTAAGCCATGCTAGTGCACAGTTAATTGTATGTCTACTACCTAATCTTCAGTCCATATTCACCAGCCCACAAGCTTTACATGAGTGCTATAATCGTGTTAGTGCATATAAGAGCCATACAGATTAATGCTATTAACATTTTGCTTTAGACCTATTCTATACAATGAGCATGTCATACTAGTATTCATATGGAGAAGGAAAAAAATTACATAAGCCCAGCAACTTATCACCGACTGCTGTTTCCAAAGCAAAAAAATGTTGCGATTTTTAAATATTCAATGTTTGATTTGTATACTTCCGATAAAAAATAAAAAAGAATCTGGACCATTAGGACCATTCTATGAACTTTCTTGCACATTTAATATTTACAACAAAAAATATTAAACAATCAAATGAAATCATTTCAATATCAAACACTAATATTTTGAAGGGGAGGAGCGGGTTGAAATACCATATACCTGTATATGTATTTTTTATTTTGTTGCAGTGCACTGTGCAATGTACATTATAAATTTACATTTAAACAGGAGCATCATATTGATGTTGCAATTGACCATATTTTCTTTGAGTCTTGGGACATTGTGGTACAATCATTACCCTTTCAGTTCCTGTAAGTTTACAAACAAATATAGTAAATGGAATTTGAATTCTTCGTTTAAAATAGGAATACAATATTTTCAATGGGAACAACATTAAAAAAAATATAATTCCAATTCAGTAATAACTAATATAAGAAATAGATGCACAGTAAATGCATTAGTATACAACTGGCATTAGTGGCAGCATTTGTTTCCCAAAGAAGGTTCAGCTGTTCCCATGACAAAATACATTAATGATACTTCTACACTTCTACTATTGCTACTACTGCTACTAATACTTATACAGTCAAACCTGTCTACAGCAACCGCCCAAGGGAAACACAAAAAGTGGTCTTTGTAGACAGGTTCCTTTAGTACACGTTTCAATGAGAAACCATTTTCAAGGGAAACAAAAAGTGTGCTTGTTGTAGACAGGTGGTCTTTGTAGACAGGTGGTCACTAAAGCAGGTTTGACTGTACTTCTGCTGCTACTGCTGCTACTACTACTACTATTACTATTACTATTGCTGCTGCTGATGTTGCTTGCTGATGCGACTACTGCTACTGCTTTCCATGGTGAGCAGTTGTTAGTTGGTTTGTACCTTTCATGGGCCCCCTTTCATGAAGCATTACAACAACTGTAAGTCATAAAGACTGTCACTAGTCATTCTCATGTTTCATACACAGCGTGAAATTAGAAATTAGTAGCAAATTTTGTTTTGAAGTCAAATGAAAAAATATTCTTGAATCTTAACTTTCACTCAATCCCAAGCCAACAAAAGGAATAACAAATCAAGGTTAAAATATGGTGCTGGTATAATTTGTTTATGAGAGAGTGGATGCTCTCATATTGACAAACCAGATGGAATAATTTCTGAGGATTACAACGATAATTGAGTGAACTTCTTAAGAAGATGTTTGTGTGGCAGTCTTAACACTTGTCAATGTTGTACATTTTCATGAAAGAGGACGAGTCTACGGCAATGTTCGTCACACTCACCAGACGATTATGTTTTTCGTGATCTAGATCTCTATCCATCTAGGATTGAAGTAAGGGGGCAGGGGTTTTAACATGAATGCCAAATGTTGACTAGTACAAATGGATCATGTCTAACCTTCTTATGCCATACAGGATACACAACAATGATAAATGAGCCATGATGATGCAAACAGACACCTGCTGAGTCCCCTCCCCCAACACCCCACGGTAACACCAAAGGAAAACTATTTATTTGGACAACTACCCATTTGCAGTTACTACCATCAACACAATCACTAATCTGCCGCCTGGAGAACTAACCCTTGACCCACTAATCCCTTTTAATTCAGCATGGACAATCACCCTGGCAGGATTACTCCTATCCAGACATATTTTCTCTTGAAAAATATTATACCTAGCTTTTTCTAGAGGATAAATTATGTTGTTGTAGTACCGGAAGCCATTGTCCAGGTTTGGTTATTGACTGAGAGGCAGTTGCTCTGATGGTAATTTACCAAGTGGGGCCAATTGTTGGTAAGTGGTAGGTACTGCATTGATTACCGATCCCGGACTACCCTTGCAAGAAGCACTCCCCAAAACATCCCCATGCACCCACCAGTATCACCAAGTCTTCACAGTCTGTAACATCACGTCCGTCAAATCGCAAAAGCTTGCTCTGCGACCTAGACAACACTTAAGAGGCTTCGAATGATTCGGATGTTGTTGTGCACATCCCAAAAAGCTTTCTTCCCTATTTCCTAAAAACACTTCAAGAGGGACTAATAGGCTTTTCATCTGTTTTGGGGGCCTGATCTCATAGAACTGATAACATCAGCAGTACCAGTATGACTACATCTTCACCACTTGAAACACTAAGCATTATCAAGTCAAAATTGTACGCAAATAAAAGCTTGAGTATTGGATTGATTAATAGTTCTGAACATGAAAGTTATTAACAAAAGAAGGTTTATCCTAGTCTTGTCCTCATCTCAAAGAACCATTAACATCCTCACTCACCAGTATGACTACATCTGGACCAGTAAATCCAGTCTATGCTTCTGGACCAGTAAATCCAGTCTATGCTTATCTTCCTTTTCAGTCCCAAAATGCTTAGAGAGGGACCAGCAGGCTAAGCCTGCTATCAGCCCCAACTCGAGGACTATCTAAACATCACCACTCACCAGTATGACTACATCTACGCCAGCCTGGACCAGAAGGTCAAGTCTGTGCTTGTCCTCTTCCCTGGTACCGATGGCAGCCCCACACAGCAGTTGCTTCCTGGGGTCTTTGGAGGCTAGGGGGAACTCCCTGTGTTTCTTGAGATCCGTACGGGAGATGAGAGAGACTAGCTCATCTTTCTCGTTTACAATGGGCAGCTTGCCTGAGAGAGAGAGAGGGAAGGAGGATCATGACAAAACCATTCAAAACATCAACATTCAACCAGGGTCTTGTAAGTGGACATATTTTGTAAAAGACAAACTCTCTCCTTTAATCAGAGTAGATTCTTGTGGGAAGATAATCGACAGTAGAACAGGAACGTGGGTAAAATATTGCATTTGCTGAAGCCTAGTACTTAATAGCAGCAATTAGCATACAAAAGAAAACAATTTTTTGTTTAAGTCTTGTAGTCCCGTATAATCCCCATCATTAAGTGTTAATATTTTGATAGTGATAGATTATTCACATTTTCTATTTTTCTATGATAGTAACTTTGTCATGGTCCCATGTACACTCTTTGATGTGCAGCTGAATCAATAGACCAGCTTATGGTCGTTTTAATCTTTCGCCCTTTCCCAAATGCGCGCGCGTGTATGATATGCGTACTCCCCACGAATTCACCTTCCCCGAAAGGTTGTGTGTCCGTACGTGTATATTATGGTGTACTAGTATGTGAGCGAGCACGGATCATGTAGAGAACAGTCCAGGCAGTGGACTACTGAATCAAGTACCCTGCCATGCCAAAGGCTGTATCCTTTGGGGCATACTAATTACATGTTACCTTTCTTGGCTTTCTGCAGAAGGTCATTAGCTTGTTTCAGAGTTACATTAGCTGGAGCAACCACCAGATCCTCTCTACAGGTCATGGCAGTACTGAGCGGCTTCACGTAACTTTCTGGTTTCAAGAAGTCAATATCGCGAGCCGTGACGATTCCTAAGAGTTTACCACCCAGTCTTCCGGTGTCTGTGATGGGTATGCCTAAAAGAAAATAGTATGAAACAGATATTATATATTATATGTTATATGAAACTGATATTCAAAATACGAAAAGAGAAGTTGCAAGATGGTTCATTGGCGTATCAAACAACTATGACCTCTGGAAGATTACTCCCTGAGACACCTACTATTGAGGACTCCCTTGGACAAATAATCATTTAGGACAGCTACCCATTTAGGACCATTACCACTAAACCACACGGTTAATTGTCCTAGCGGTTATTATCCATGCAGTATTTGTTAGATTGTAAAGATCATTAAAGGGCTACTTATCACAGTTAATATCATAAGCAGGTTCAAGAATATAGGTAATCTAATTGGTCAGATGACACTACGTGAACGTGCATTATTCACTCCTACTGTGCAAGTTCCCATCAAAAAGTGATAACCTACGGCTAAAAGTGATAATGCACAGCTGCTTATACAAAATTAAAGTCGCGATGAAATGCACGTAGTTTCAAATGGCAAGGACTAATGCGCACACCAACACATGCATTACATAGTTTGGCTGAGCTTGTGTACTGTGATGTCATTCAATGCAAATGGCAGCCTCCATGATTGTTTGATCTTTGGAATTTCAATCCAATTTTTTTGCTTATTTCTCAACTTTATATTCATATTATAGACCCCTTTTTAAAAACAAATAATTCATGTTTTGAATTTTGTACATTAGTGATATGCACTGCACTTGGTTAAGTCACAATGAGCGGATAATAAATTTGACATGTCTTGTTCATTATCTGACTGTGCAATCAGAAACATGAATTATTACTTGTATACTGGTCGGTTATTGTCCAATGAACCTGGGGATTAACAGGGATGTCCTGTATACATCATTACAGCTGTCATTATTGTAGTTTCTAGCTGTTAGTCTACGTCTATATTGCAAGTCTCAAATTGCTACATACCGACTATAAACTACCATGCCCTAGACATTCCTTCATTCTTCTACGTAAAATCATGCATCTTTCTTTCATTTTCATGAGGTTTAAGTAATTTCAAATATTTCAGTTATCCTACCAAAGCATTTTATACTTGTTTTTCTCTACTCTATGAACCCCAAATATCATCCAAGACTATATTATGCTACATTTAAATTATGTTGTGATGTCTCAGCAAACAATTTCAATAACATAACCTCAAACTTCATATTGTTCAATTTGCAACCCACCACCTAAAAAAATGTTTTATTGGCACAGCACTCATTAGGAATATACACTTCAAAAGATACAGCAAAAAAAGCCTCTCCCATCAAGAGATCTACTGATACACTTGTAGAAATAACTTAATTCTCACATAATTCATCCATGTTTTAAGGTAAAGATCAGTTTTGGAAATGCCCCCCTCTCAAAAAAATTTGGACCTGATAGATATCGCGCACATGTCGCGTGGTCCCATATACATCTTTCTGTGTACAGTGCTTGTAACTTTACCAAGACTGGGCCAAATTTCTTATCATTTTTATGATTCCAGAACCTTGCAGTACACACCAATACTTATATGCTAGATGATCAACCTTTTCTGATCGATTCCACAACTTTTCTTTCACAATGCAATCGCATGACCATAACTGGTCTTTATAAACAAGTCTTATGTGTTTCATGAATGGACCAGGCAACCCCACAGATATTTGTCTGATATATCACTAAGGCGCCACGGATTTATTCAACTGGCATTCGGAATGCATTCGGAATGCACTTGTTAATCTTTCTGGAATGTATCCGGAATGCGCACATTCTAGCCACATTCTCAAAAAATCGATGCGACCTGCGCCTATTGTCTAGAGAACAAAGGGGCATTCCAGAATGCGCACATTCTGTACGAATTCTGGAATGCATTCTGGAATGCCCCTTTGTTCTCTAGACAAAAGGCGCAAAACGCATGGACTTTTGAGAATTGGGCGATGAAAAAGCATGCCGGAGACGCTGGCGATTAATCAGAGATGCGTGATTTCAAATGCGACTATACCTCATAAGGTTCGACAGCGCGGCTCACTTTTAGAAGGAGTAAGAACTATTTCTAATTATCTTTTTAAACAGGGTATAACATTCGTTCTCTCAACTTCTGATTTTCTGAAGTTGATAACAGCGAAAACACGTTGTCTCCTAATTGAAGGGGAAAATATCTTGGAATAACATTTCCATTTCCCAATAAAAAAAAAGTTACGATCGCTTTATTTCTTAACCGTTAAAATGAATTTTGACGCTACGAGCTGGTTTTAATACAAGTATTTTCCTGCTCGAAAAAAGATTGCATTTATATAAAATAAATTGTTTGCCTTTTCAAATTTCTGCCGACATAGTGTTGGAATATGAATAAGTATAATTTTATATAAACAGCGCGGGAGTAAGTAGGAGTAAGAGCTATTTTTTTTTTTTCATCTTTTAAACAAGGTATAACTTTCGTTCTCTCAACTTCTGATTTTCTGAAGTTGATAACAGCGAATACACGTTGTCTCCTAATTGAAGAAACAAAATATCTTGGTATTACGTTTCTATCTTCCCATAAAAAAGTTGCGGCCGCTTTATTTCTTCCCCGGTAAAATGAATTTTGACGCTACAAGCTGGTTTTAAAACAAGTATTTTCCTGCTCGAAAAAAGATTGCATTTATATAAAATAAATTGTTTGTCTTTTCAAATTTCTGTCGACATAGTGTTGGAAAATGAATAAGTATCATTTTTTAAAGCGCGGAGCACCTTTTGAAGGAAAAAGAGCTATTTTTATTTATCTTTTTAAACAAGATATAACATTCGTTCTCTCAACTTCTGATTTTCTGAAGTTGATAACAGCGGAAACACGTTGTCTCCTAATTGAAGGAAAACAAATATCTTGGTAGTACGTTTCCATTTTCCCATAAAAAAGTTGCGGCCGCTTTATTTCAAATTCTTCAAACTCGGTCAAACTATCATCAATCTCTTTCTCTCTCTTTTGTTGTTGTTGTTGTTGCCTTTTTTGCTTTCGTTTTCAGATCAACTGGGTGTCAAGTAAATTACACTACACGTTCAATAAATGCAAGGGAAAGATTTAACGGTGGAGGCAAAGGACGTATTTTACTCAGTGGGAACATCATAATTATTCAGTATTAACATCGACATCCATTACGACTGTTCCCTAGGAAACCAACAAATATCGATGGACGATGCTCCCCCCCCCCCCCCTTCCCCCGAAAGATTGATGGGAATATGAAACATCTGAGACTTGGCATTCATAAATTATACTTAATTAAAAAAAAATGGGCAATCCAACCCTGTGGTGGAAATTCGCTTTGTAAAGGAAAGCAAAAAATCATGGGAAACATTCATAAAAGTTTGAAAAACGATCCGATAAACAAAAACAGAAGCCTTTGCGGGGTGTGAAAATAGCCATTAAATAAACCACCCCTGACTTGGTAATTCTTCTCCCCTGTAATTACCAGTGTCGGAACTCTGACAATACGCTTTTCATGTTATCAGCTTGATCAATTTAGCGAATCATTCATGTATGGACCTCCTCTATTATGAAACGCTTATCTCAGCTGCCTGGACCGGATCCCACAATAAGAGGAACAAACGAATGTAAAGAAGTAACTACTCTGGAAGATTACCGTTTTGAAAGAAGAGGATGTAGGCCTAAACGTAGGTCAAACTACATGACAATACAAACTACCACTCTAACTTATTTACCTTTACGAGGGCATGTAGCCATTTAAGAGCAGGTTTGAGTAATAGGTATAGCCACGAATATGAGATTTTTTTTAAAGGGAACAAAAGCAAGGCAACATAAAAAAACAAGTTTTCTGGCAATAAAGACAAGCGATTGCAAGATGAAGAAATTAATTTCTATTATCATTACTATTCTATTACAATATTGTAAGCATCATCATCGCCATCATCATCACTTCATGTATACATGTACATGCCATCTACAGAACTGATCATGAAACGAGGATTAACAAAGTTTTATTGACAAGATAGGTTGAACGAGAACACAGATGAAGACGAAGACAAATAAATTGAATTCTCACGAGGGGATAACCCAAACAAGTCTAGCTGTTCAATGGTTATCCTGATAAATGGGATTTGCGTGTCATTTTATTTTATAAAATATATTTAGGCAATAGTGGTAAGATGGTAATATGGTAAGGCACACGACGGCCTTTTTTAGATGGCAAAATTAATATTTCAAATTATGAGAAACGAAGTCAAAAGTATTCAAAGTAAATATTATTTTTGTTTTTTATCTCAAAATTCATTTCCCAAATAGTCCTATATTTGATTTGCACATTTAAAAGAAAGGGCATTTCGTGTAGATCATGGCATAATGTTGGTCAGAATATCGTTACAATTTTTTTTTTATAAAACCCATGTAAAACGAAGGCTTAGGCCTATTATTTATGGCTCGGTTGATAATCGGCCGAGCTTCAGTAGACGACAATCATTGACAATGGGGGAATGAATCAATTGAACAATGGAGGTATCAACCGATCTTACGCAATTTGTATTGTGAGTGTATTGAGAAGGAAAGACGAGAAGCTTCAGCAAAATAAGACGGCAATTTCCCTAAAAAAATAATGGACCTTATTTTTCGTATTGTTGAACAAAACTTATATTTTTAGAAATAAAAAAGTCCGAACTTTCATTTGTATATTTACAAACATATCACGAAATTGACTGAATGATGCGCAATGAGCAATGTAAGTAGAAAGCACCGCCATATTTTCCATTACTGGCGATGTAACCGAAATCGCTCCGTCACATGGGAAACTAGTCTTTTACCATATTAAAATGTTTTATAGACTTTGTTTGTTTAAATGCCTGACTTCCCAATTATTTTACTTTTTTATGGATTTTTTATTTTTTAATGGGGAAGGAAAAAAATTCCGCCCACCGCCCCTACTCCAGAAAAGCAATCGAGGACAACTAAATGATTTTTGGGGGCCTTACAACTGTCAATTAAAGTTCACTAGGAAACCAAAAAATATCGATGGACGATGCTCGTAATTA